TAATTGTTCTGGCTAATGTTTCTAGAACTATGTTGAATAAGAGTGGTGACTGTGGATATCCTTGTCTTGGTCCTCATTTTACAGTGAAAGCTTTTGGTTTTTTTCTGCTTAGTATGATGTTGGCTGTTGGTTTGTTATAGATGGCTTTTATCAGATTGAGATAAAGACCATCTATTCCAATTCTCTTTAGGGTTTTTATCATGAATGGGTGTTGGACTTCGTCAAATGCTTTTTTCTGTATCTATGATTACATGGTTTTTGTTCTTGGCTGTTTTCATATGGTGTATTACATTTATAGATTTATGTATGTCAAACCATCCTGCATCCCTGGGATGAATCCTGCTGGGTCATAATGTATGATCTTCTTGAAGATTTGCTGCATTCTGTTTGCCAGTATTTTGTTGAGGATTTTAGAGGATCCAAGTTCATTAAGGAAACTGACCTGTAGTTCTCTATTTTAGTTCAATCCTTCTCTGGTTTTCATATCAGGGTAATATTTACTTCCAGGAAGGAGTTTCAGAGTATTGCTTTCCTTTCAGTTTCATTAGATTTTCTCTAAAGTTCTTGTAGAATTCAGCAGTGAATCCATCAGGACCTGGGCTTTTCTTTGTTGGTAGCTTTTTAAAAACTTAACTTCATCAATTTTATTGACTGATATTGGGTTATTTAGAATTTTTGTCCTGAGTTAAAACGCAGGAAACTAGTAGACTACTAAGGTTTTTTTCCACCCATTCAAAAACATTTATTAAGTAATACACTCTCCTAATTACTATGTGTAGTATTGAGGGATATAATCATAGCTCATACCTTAAAGAGACACACACTCTAGTTGAGATTATAGATATGTAAATGGTTAGGTGTAAATAATCATCATACTAATACTATGGAAACATGAGGAAAAGAACACATTAAAGCCAGTGGAAAAAAATCCTGTCAGACTGAATGATGTTTAAACCCTAGAGAAATACTTAGGAAGTCACCAAATAGAGAAAGAATATGTTGCATCAGTGTTTGCATTTTTCAAAGTTTTCCGTACAGTATTTCTGGACCCCAGCCTCAGCAAACACTGCAGTGCAGAGGCTCTCAAACTGTTTGCCTGCGGGTTCCAGCATCTCCATACTCCTAAGCCAGAGGAAACTGGAAGAGTAAATAAGGACCAGAGTTTACAATAGACATTGAGAAATAGGAAGAAATTGTTCAAAAGGGAAGAGGAACTAGGAAGGGGAAAGAGAGAAAGGAAAGAAGGGAAAAGAAAAAATGATAAAAGAAGGAGAGAATGGAGACAAAGCTTTGTAAATAAGAAGGGGAAGAGGGGTGGAAGGGAGGGGAGGGACCTGGGAGAAAAAGAGGAGTCAAGACATACCATGTATGGGTACAAATTCCCTATGTATATTTAAATTGTACCGTTAAGTTTAAAAACAAAAGAAATAACTCACAGTTAATTTTATCAAGTAGGTGGGTTCAAAAACCTTACTAAATACTTCATGTCGTAACAAGTAATCAGAATGCTAATGGGATGCACATGCTTGCTTGGGACTACGCGACGTCTCTAACCTTGGAATCGAATTAGACATCGCTCTTTCTTGTTCCGCATTGACTTGCACATAGTATTTGTTTTCATCCAGCCAATGAAACAAGCTTTAAAAAGATATAATGGCATCAAAAGTGATGCAGTGCATCCGGTGTTGAAACTATGTTAAGTTCACGCTGTCTCCAGCAGATGTGCGTCTCTTTTTTTTTTTTTTTTTTGTCATTTTAAAATACCCTGGCATCCTGTGAGTTCTCTGCCGAGTGCTAGGATCATTCGGTGCACACTTTTGGAATTCCAAAAGTGTGGCTTTGATGAGTTGATACCGTTGACCAAGCTAAAGAAGGGAGTAGTTTAATGTAGGATCATAAGCAAAAGAAAATTAGGTTATACAACATAAGCAGTGATTATTTGATTTTTTCAGGAATTACAGGGTTGTTGAAAGTTGGATACAGGTATGATTGTTCCTACTTTTGAATCTGATATTGTCTTACTGTTGTATTTTAAAGGATCATTTGTACTACAATCATTTTTTTAACAGATGGATGAGTTGCATATATCTATGGTCCAGTGGATGGTAAATTTGCTGATTATAATGATTCCTGACTTTACTGACCATTACAGTCTCCCCAAGTTGGAGGAGGAAAGCACTGAGAAACATGACATAGGAATTGCACAGCTAGAACTAGATGCAATTGTACTGGCGAAGAAGTTGTCCCAAGATACCAGCTATTTGAGCAGGTGAAGCTATCTGGTTATTTTCTTGCTGGGGATTTGAAGATTAAATGTGACATAAGGCAAAGGGGACAGTGAAATAGCAGCCACAGACAGGTTGTTTTAAAACCTTAAAAGAAGCGGGGCATGGTGGTGCACGCCTGTAATCCCAACACTCGGAAGGCTGAGGCAGGAGGATCATTGCAAGTCCAAGACCAGCCTAGGCTACAAAGTGAACTCAAGGCCAGCCTGAACTGCATAGTAAGACCCTGTCTCAAAAAGTCAAAAAAAAAAAAAAAAAAAAAAAAGATAAAACCTTGAAAGAAACAGTATTTCAGTTTTTCAGCTAGCGTGAACACTGTGGGCAGTAGGAATATGAGATTTTAGCATTCTCCCAATAGCTTTAGAATTCTTTTGGAAACTGTGTATTACAGAAAGGATGGGAAATACATGTATGTTGGACAACAATTAGTTTTTTTTTAAAGACCAACTTACCTGTGTAAATAAGATACATCCTACATCTTTGCATGTACTGGGAGGTATTTAAGAAAGCTGTAGTTTTCCGTATAACTCCATGCAAAGTTGAATGCACATTTGTGTGTGTTCCACTAAGTACCAAGCAAAATATCTTTTTTTAAGAAAAAGAAAAAAAACCTGAAAAGTTAGAACATTCATATCAATACTGATGAGGTCTGGGCGCTGGGGATTTAGCTCAGCGGCAAAGCGCCTGCCTGGCAAGCACAAGTCCATGAGTTCGGTTCCCGGTACCGGAGAAAAACAAAAAAAAACAAAACAAAACAAAAAAAATACTGATGAGGTCTGAAAAATTGTTACATATTAAATAAGATACAAATTGTCACCACAGTTACTTTAAATTTGGGGCAGTGGCTTTTTACAATCTAGCCACATTTTCCTTTCATGTTTTCAATTGTTTTACCAATGGTCAAGGGTAAGAGGAATGGAGGAGGAAGAGAACGGGGTGAGAACTTCAGAAAGGACTAAATTTTCTCCCTGGGGAGTCAGTAGCTGAATTACTAAATTCCCACTGTATCTGAATTTTAAAATTTAGAGAAATCAACAACTAAAAAATCATTCTAGGTATCCTCGTCAACTTCCCATTACTATAGTCGAATATCTGAGATAGTTAACTTGTAAAAAGGACATCTCGGCTCACGGTGGTGGAAGTTTCTGTCCATGGTCGACTGGCCTGGTGCGTTGGGGCCTGCGGTAAAGCAGCACGTGACTACGGGAGTGCAAGGCGCCACAAAACCCTCACTGCATGAGCCAGGAGGCGAAAGGGGAAGCGGAAGAGACTGGGGCTCCACAATGGCCTTACAAGGGCTCATCATCCGCTACCTGCGGCCTTATTTCCTGAAGGTTCCACCACCTCCCAATAGCTCCATCTTGGGGTCTGAACCTTCAACACATGGGCTTGGGGACACTCATCCAAACCACGTCACTGAGGATGTGCTCAGTCTTGTTTTCTTCTCTCCACTTCCCTCCCCTCCCCTCCCCTCCCCTGCCTTCCCTCCTCTCCTCTCCTCTCCTCTCCTCTCTTCCTTTACTTTCTCCCTTCCCTTCCTCTCTCTTTTTCTTTCTTTCTTTCTTTCTTTCTTTCTTTCTTTCTTTCTTTCTTTCTTTTTCTTCCTTCCTTCATTCCTTCCTTCCTTCCTTCCTTCCTTCCTTCCTTCCTTCCTTCCTTCCTTCTTCCCTTCCTCCCTACCTCCCTTCCTTTCTTTCCTTCTCTTTTTCAGTTGCTGCAAAGGGATGGTAACAGCAATAGCTCTGAATAAAGCAGCTCATGCCAAAAAAAATCCTGCTAAGGAACTTCGGGAACTGGACAGGATGAAGGTAGTGACATTTCCTTTCCAGTAGTTTTGCTTTAGCATATTTTTTGTGGTTTAATTGATTTAAAACAAAATCCACTTGAAAAATACAATCTAGAAGTACTAAAATATGTGTACACTCGTGAAACACTCACTGCATTAGAAGGGGGAGCACACGTGCGTAACACACCTGCAATTGGCACCCCTTTATTATCTGTCCTAATTGCCTCATCTTGTTCCCATGTAACATCTGATTCAGTTCCTAAAACCCAAGATTATTTTTCATTTTCTAGAACTTATATAAATTAATTAATATACAGTGCATCTGTTTTAGTCTGTTTTGACTAGGGATTATTTTGAGATTCACACATATTGTTGCTTTTATCAGAAGTGTGTGCTTTTTAGTGCTGAGTAGTATTTTATTGTATGGATATACACAGTCTATTCTCTGTTAATGGTATTTCAAATGTTCCCAGTTTTTTTATCATTACAAGAAAGGCCTCAATGCATATTTATGTACATAGTTGGTAAACAAAAAAAATTTTTTTGAAACAGGGTCTTGCTATGTAGTTCAGGCTGGCCTGAACTCCCAGCAATCCTCCTGCCTCAGCCTCCCAAGTGCTGGGATTACAATTGTGCACCGCGACGCCCAGTGAAGAGATGTGACTTTGAAAGATAGGAAGTTCTTAATTTTGATGAGGTTCAATATTTAATGGATTTTTTTTATTCATGCATATTAGTTATACAAAATAGGGTAGTGGGCTTTGTTTCAGTGTATTTGTACCTGCGTCTAATATACTCGGACCATTTCAGTGCTCCCATTAGCTCCTTGTCCCCCATCATTTCCTTCTTCTCCTCTCACAGTCTCCCTTCTATTTTCATGTTCTCTCTTCCTCTCTCTTTCTTCTTCAAGTTCCACATAGGCGAGAACACATGTCATATTTGTCTGTCTGAGTCTGGCTTATTTCTGTTGTTGCCAGGGGCTTACGGTATTCCCATATCAGCTCTTATGAATTGTGCCACAAAATCTGACCTGCAGGCATCTCTTATGCATGCTGACTTCAGTTCTTTCAGCAACATACTGTGGAGTCATATAGCTGAATTAAAAAACAGCTCTATTTATAGTTTTTGGAGGAGCTTTCATACTGATTTGCATAGTGCCTGTCCTAATTTATCTTTTCACCAATAGTGTGGAAGTGTCCTTTTCCTGTGTATCCTTGCCAGTATTCATTGTTTTTTGTGTTATTAATGATAAACATTCTGACTTGGGAGAGGTAAGTTTCAATGTAATTTTGATATACATTTCTTTGATGGCTACAGAGGTTGAACTTTTTTTCATATATTTCTTTTAGATGTGTCTGTTCAGTTTATTTGCCCATTTATGGATTGGGTTACTTGTTCTCTGGTGTTAATTTTCTTTTTAGTTCTTTATATATTCTGGATCCTATGTCAGAAGAGTAGCTAGCAAAACATTTTTATAGGATGTCTCTTCATTATGTTCATTATTTTTGTTTTTTTTTTGAGACAGGGTCTCACTATGTGGTCCAGGCTGGCCTTGAACTCACTATGTAGCTCAGGCTGGCCTCAAACTCATCTCAACCCTCCTGCCTCAGCCTTCCGAGTGCTGGAATTACAGGCATATACCGCCACACCTGGCTATGTTCATTGTTTCCTTTGCTGTATACAAGCTTCTTAATTTGATGTGATTCTATTTATTGGTCCTTGTTATCTCTTGTGCTACTGGAGTTCTAGTAAGGAGTCTTTGCCTGGGTTTATGAAGTATTTTTCATAAGTTGTCTTCTAGAAGTTTCAGATTTTCAGGCCTTACACTTAGGTCTTTCATCCATTTTGAGTTGATCCAAAATAAGAGGCTAGGATCTAGTTTCAGTCTCCTACATATACATTTCTAGTTTTCCCTGTACTATTTACTAAAGAGGTTTTTCCTCCAGTGTATATTTCTTACCCCTTTGTCAAGAATTAGATGACTGTAATTGTGTGAGTTTGTTTCTTTGTCTTCTATTCCTTGGTCCATATATCTATTTTTATGTCTCAGCTGTTTTACAGTGTTTTTTGTTTTGTTTAACTATGGCTTTGTAATGTATTTTGAAATCAAGTGCTATGATATCTCCAGCACAGTTGTTTTTTCTCAGGATTGCTTTAATTGTTCTGGGTCTTTTGTGCTTCCAGACGAATATTAGGGTTTTTCCCCAGTTCTTTGAAGAGTATCACTGGAATTTTGATGGGGATATCTTTGACTCTGTAGATCAGTTTGGGTAGCATGACCACCTTAAGAATTTAAATCTGCCAGTTCAGGAATGTAGATTTTCCCATCTTTTAGTGTCTTCTTCAGTTTCTTCCCTCAGTGTTCTGTAATTCTCATTGTAGAGGTTTTCACCTCCTTGATTAGGCTCATTCCTAGATTTTTTTCATTTGAAACTTATGTGAATGGAATTATTTTCCAAATTTTTTTCTCCGTGGGTTCATATTGGTATATAGAAAAGCTATTGATTTTTGTATGTTGGCTTTGTGTACAACCACGTTGCCAAGTTTATTTCTCAGATCTAAAAGTCTTCTGATGAAGTTATTGGTTCTGCTCAGTAAAGGATCATTTCATTGGTGGACAGGGATAATCTGACTTCTTCCCTTCCTATCTGCATCCTTTTTATTTCTCTCGTCTGACTGTATTGAAGAGGTGGTGAGAGTGAATACACTTGTTTTCTTCCTGATTTTAGAGGAAATGCTTCCAGTTTTTACTTTTCAGTGTGGTGTTGGCTATGGTGTTACTTTATAGAGCTTTTATTATATTGAGGCAATATCCTACTATACATCCTTTCCCTAGGATATATATCGTGAATGGGTATTGAATTTTGTCAGTGGCTTTCTTGGGATCTGTTGAGATGCTCTTGGGATTTTTATTCTTGCTTCTATTTATGTGGTATTCACTCTCACATTGCCATTCAGTATAATGCTTGAAGTTTTAGCTAAACTTTAGCCAAAGTTTTAGGCAAGAAAAAAAAAAATAAAAGGAGTCCAAATAGGGAAAGAAATCAAATTACCCCTACTCACATTTGTTGATTTGTATATAGTGACCCATCCTTGCATCCCTGAAATGAAGCCAATTTAATCGTGGTATATGATCTTTTTTATTTGCAATAATTTTGTTGAGGAATTTTTAAATCTATGTTCATCAAGGATATTGGTCTGTAGCTTTCCTTTTTTCCTTTTTTTTTTTTTTTGTTTTTATCTGGGTTTGCTATCAAGGCAATAATGGCTTTGTAGAATGAATTTGAAATCATTCCTGCACTTTCTATTTCATGAAATAATTTGAAGAGCACTGATTTTAGTTCTTATTTAAAGGTCTGGTAAAATTTAGCATTAAATTCATCTGGTCCTAGGTTTTTCTTTCTTGGGAGACTTTTTATTACTGCTTTAATCTCATTGCTTGTTATTGATCTGCTTAGGTGTTCATATCCCCTAAGTTCAATATTTGTAGGCTGTATGCATGTAGAAACCTATTAATTTCTTCTAGATTTTCCAATTTATTGGAATACAAATTTCAAAATAGCTCCTAATGATACTATGAATTTCAGTGGTATTTGTATAATATCCTCCCTTTTCACTCTTTTTTTCTTGTTGGTTATAGATTAATGGTTTTCATTTTGGCAGATTTCACATGCACGTAGCATCTTTTGATCATTTTTACTTCTGCACCACCTCCTTGCTCCCCCTTCCCTCCTAGATTCACATTTTTGGGGGAGATTTCAATGCATATATTTTTCTGATATCCATCCCCCTATTACCGGCCTTTACAACCCCTTCCTCTCCCTCATTTTCTCCCTCTTATCTTTTTTTTTTCCCCTGGGAAGGAAAAAATCATTTATTAATATAAACAATCTCTAATTTTTGTGTAATTCCTATTTTTTTGTGGAGGAGACAGGGTCTCACTATGTAGTCTAGGCTGGCCTTGAACTTGCAGCAATCTTCCTGCCTCAGCCTTCTGAGTGCTGGGATTACAGGTGTGTGCTACCTTGCCCAGCCACTTCATTTGTAGTTAGTTGTTCTTACTCATCCTCTAGGTCTTGATTTAAATGTCATTTTCTCAGTTGGGTGTTCCCTGACACTTCAGTTAAGTGACTCACTATTTATTTTCTACTTACTTATTTTTGGGGATTGAACCCAGGGCCTCACATACCTGTGCATACATTCTACCACTGAGTTATACTCTCAACCACTCAACTCTTTATTATTCTTGTACTTTATACCTTTGTACTTTGTGTTATCCACAACACTTGCAAATACATGGTGTGTCTATCTTCTCTGCCAGACCATAAGATGTATAAGGGTAGAGAATGTATGTTTTGTTTGATTTATCCCCCGTACTCAAAAATATTTGTTAAATGAATCCCTTGGCAGGGCAGAACCAAATCATTCTGAAACAGTTTCAAGATCTTCATATTTCTGTAAGCAACATGTACAATATCTTTTTTTTTTTTTCTTCTCTTTTAACTGGAGTTGAATTGGGGCTCCACATTTATCACCATCCGTTTGGATTCTTAGTTTAACCTGAGTTTACTTTTGGATGCTAGATGGCTTATCTACATCAAATGGACTGCAAGGCTTCTAAGCGGAATAATTTATTATAGGCGTACTTGTCAGCTGAAGATAAAAATGGCCTATAAAGTTGGCCGGCATCTTCCACTTTTACAAAAGGCTGAGTCTGTTCTTGTTTTTTGTGTTCCAATACTAACAGATTCTCCATATCTGTTAGAGAAGTGCTTGACTTCTTGAGTACAGCTCTTTTTCCTTTTGTTCGGTGTAGCATCTAATATCATCAGTATGAAGAATTTTTACTCCCCCTGATAAGACATTTGATAATATACTATTTGAAGGAATGAGGTCGTGATCCTTGATAGCTCTTCCGACGAATAACTTTCCGATGCTTAAACACATTATGTTTGGAATCGTAAATGAACTTCCTCGTGACTGGGATGAGGTGACGTGGTTTCTGCAATATATGCAGATTCTGGACTTGGACAGGAGAAATTCGACTCAGTGTTTGTGCAAATTTTCCTCCTTTTTATTTGAAATAAACTAATTGATATCTTTGCTGAGAAACACTTCAACTCGTTACCCCACTGTTCTTGGCACTTTCTGAAGAAGCTCTGAAAGTCCTCTTTCATTATTTATTTGTACTGTCCTGGCTGCTTCCATGTTCTGAATTGCTTTTATCCATTATAATTTTTTTTTTTCCGGTATCGGCAGTCGAACTCAGGACCTTGCGCTTGGCAGGGAGGTGCTTGTGGCGCTGGGCTATTTCCTCAGGCCCCTGAATTGCTTCTAAATATTTAACTTTCACAGTCATTTTGACCTCGGGGAAAAGCCAGATCCATCGAATAATCAATCCCTCCTAGGTCCTTTGTGTCCTTTTGCAGTGTTTCAGATAAGGTGACCGACAGTAAGTCAAGGTAAAGTCCTTTTCCCCAGAATGGCTTATAGTTGGATGTTTCTGGTCTGCTATTACTTGTAAGAGATTTCCAAGATGGTCTGTTCTTTTCGTTTTTGACTTGGATTCCACCCTGGAACGGCCTTTTGCTGTGGATCCTCACGGCGCCGCGGGTCACGGCAGCCTCCGGCAATACATGCTGGGTCCGGGCAGGCCCCGGGTTTCCCGGGGAGGGCGGGCCGGCTCCGCGGGCCAAGTGTCGGGAGCGGCTCCGGCCCGGAGCGTGGAGGAGCAAGCGGCGCGAAGCACGGCCCCTGGGCAGCGGCAGGCGGAGATCTGAAAAGGCGGCGGCGGCGCACCCCCGTCTCCCCGCCCCGACTTCTGATTAGTGCCTCTTCTACTTTTTTGGGTCATCTTTTAAGATCCCACATATTAGAGAGAACATGCAATACTTGTCTTTCTGAGTCCGGCTCATTTTATTTGGGGTGTACCTCTCTATTAAAGGCCGTAGCGGTATGGGAGACACTGGTGAGGGGCCCTTCCAGGGAGGACCTTGGGCACCTCTGCCCTGAGGTCATGGCCCATGACCCGTTTCCTGGGGATCTACGCTTTCCACCGGTGTGACCTGGGTCCTCGGTTAAGCTCTTCCCACCTACTAGCCCTTTGCTGGTGATCTCGGGTAATCAAATGAGGGAATCATTATCAGAGGAAGGCGAGAAGCTGGTCTCACACCAGAAATAAGGCTGTAACGTGTTCCATGGTGGGGATTTTGCTTTTCTAAAGCAACATGTGCGCTCTGTCTTTAATCCTGCGGCTGAGAGTACTTTCAGAGGACACCAGACTAGTTTATGTAGGGAACTCAACAGCTCCCTGCTACTCCAGCTCCTACCGGTGTCTCAGTATTCTTTATTAAAGCTCCCTCATCCTCTCCCCTTTAAGAGAAATTAGTAGCATAGCTATCTTTATATATATATATACACTGCCTTTCCCTTCCTTCTTTTCTCCTTTCCCCATCTCAGTTTCTCTTTTCTTCTGGCCAGTTTCTTCCCATCTCACAATATCTGTTGTACATTTTGGATCTTATTTACCCTTTCAGCTTCCCACACTAGAGAGACAATGTGATGTTTACACATGTGAGTCTGATTTATTTCACTTATGAGTTTGTTCTCGAGTTGCATCCATTTACCTGTAAAAATCTCCAGATTATCCTTCTTTATGACTGAGTAGTACTCCATTGTACAAAAAAAACCACATTTTTTTATCCATTCCTCAGCTGATGGGCATTTGGGTTGTTTCCAGGATTTAGCTATTACAAATTGTGCTGCTGTAAACAGAGGTGCACATATATCGCTATGGTACAATGTTTTTAATTCTTCCAGGAAGATACCCAGCAGAAGCATAGCTGGGTCAAATGGGACCATTAATCCTAGTTTTTTGAGGAATCTCCACAATGATTTCCACAGTGCACCAGTCTACACTCCCACCAACAGTGGAGAAGGGTTCCTTTTTCCCCATAGCTTCTCCAGCATTTGTTATTGGTTGATTTCTTGATAATAGTCATCCTTTCTGGGGTGAGATGGAATCCCAATGTTGTTTTAACTTTCATCTCTCGAATGACCAGTGATATTGAACATTTTTTCATATATTTATTTGCTGTTTGTATTTCTTCATCTGAGAAGTGTGTGTTTTTGGACTGGGTCTTTAAATTTGAGAGGTCTGATGTTTTTGATTCTTTATATGTTCTTGATAGTAGTCCTTTGGCTGAGGAACAGCTGGAATATTTTCCCCACGTTGGGGTTGTCTCTTCATTCTATTGGTGGTTTCTCTTACTGTACAAAAGCTTTTTAATAAGATGAGATCCCAGTTGTTGATTCTTTGTGATATTTCCTCTGTGATCAGGGTTTTATTCATAAAGTCTTTTCTTCATTCTAAATTCATCACTGTCTTCTCCTCATCTCCTAGACTACCTCTATGGTACATGAATATTTATGACATCAGACTGAGAATCTTATGATGGTGAGGATTTTGAAGGAAAGCCTGCTTGGGTCTGTGGAAAACTTATTTATCTCTATAAAACTTATTTATCACTGTAAAACTCCCACCAAAAGGTTCCTAATGATTCTTTCCCTAACTCTTTTTTTGTGTGTGGGTACTGGGAATTGAACTCATGACCTTGTACTTTGCCAGGCAGGCACTTGTACCACTGAGCTATATCCCTAGCCCCAATGACGAACTAACTCTGAAGAGAAAAAATTTGTTAGGACAAGCCAGTTCATTGTTAGTAAATACAGTAATTCTTCTGCATCTTGTTTTATGTCACTTTACTACACTTTGTCACATTGCAATCCAGATCTCAAACCTCATCAATAAAGGATAATATGAGTTAGGTGTATTTCCATTATAAGTAACTTCTGAACAAATATTTAAACTAAAATAATATCTGAAAGGTTCCTGAAAGGCAGTGGTGGAATAGAGACTTGTAATTACACAATAAGAGCACCCTTTGCCAACACTGCATCCAGTGCTAATATCCAGAATTGATGACTAGTACCGAAGTTATTGTAGTAGGAGTATCTATACCATGGATATCAGTGCATGCTAGGAAGCAGGGTTTCTCTCTCTCTCTCTCTTAGAGATGGTTGTTAAACAGTCACCAGCTCACTACTGCATAGAGGTCACCTACAGTAAGCGAACAACTTCATTTTTAAAAACAGATGAGGCCTGTTAAGTTTATTCAAGAACTCACAACTAATTAAGTGAGGTTAGAACTAAAACCTAAAGCTTCCATCTGCCTTATCTAGTCCTCCTGATATGCAAGAGACATCATCCTAACCCTTTGACTCCAGAATGACTCAGTCGTATTAACAAAGGCATGGCAAACTTACCTTGTTACTATAGGCTTCAGTTTCTTTATCAATGACCCGAGAGTTTAGGTTTGGTTTCTTAAGATTTTTGGCTCTGAGATAATATGATTTAGATTTCTGTACCTATGATAATAAGTCAGTTCAGAACAGATCTTTGAGCTGAACTAATAGAAAGTTAACTGAAGGCGGATAGATTTAGGGGGATAGTATTTAGTAGTTCATCAATAAGAGGGAGTTAGTAAATGCGTTGGTGTAATGTGACTTTTTCCTGCATAGAAATTATCTTTTCTCTCTTCTCAGAAAGAATGTTATGAATGGATCAAGACATGCTCTCACCTCCTTTCTGAGCTCAAAGACAAAAAAATGAAATTATTGACCAATGAAGAAAAAGAGAAACTACTTGAAGAAGAGGTATTTACCGTGTGTTAGCATTATTCCATTTACAAGAAAATAGGGTCTGTAATTATTCAAATTCTTCCTGTACTTCCTGTACACTTCCTGCAAGTTTGAGGCCAGCCTTGGCTACAAAGTGAGTTTGAGGCCCATCTGAGCTACATAGTGAGACCTTGTCTCAAAAAGACAAAAATAAATAAATAGATAGATAGATAAATAAATAAATAATTTTGGTTCTGAGCAAAAGCACTTGCAACTTTTTTCTTCTTGAGAAGGGAATCATCCTCCCAAGCATTTTTTTCTGCTCACTTCATAAGCAGATGATTTTTGTACCCTAGTTCATAAGGGAAAGAAGAACTTTCAGGTGGGAGTTCCATGCTACTTCCCCAGGCTGAACCTGCTCCTGTACTTACCCTTCCTTTGCTCCATTCTCAGTCTTCCCATCTAGGATTCTGTCCAATGTCCTCTCCCTTCTGTATCTTTAATGTCTTCCATATCACTCTGAAAACAATCTATAAACATGGCCATTTCTCCCATTTGGGAAAGTACGTCCCTTGGTCTTGTCTCCTGCTGCCACCTTCTCTCTTTCCTTCCCATCACACAGTCACTTCTGTTAAAACTCCACAACTACATTAAAGTCCCCAGTGATCCCGTATTGTCAACTCCAAGTATCTCCAATCTCGTATTTAATTTGGCTTCTCTGAAGCATTTGGCTCTTACGGATTATTCACCTCTTTTGCCATCTCTCCTCACAAGACCAAAGTTCCCTTCTCTATTTTTATTCAGTCCCTTTCTTTTAGCCTTCCACCTCTGCCTCTTAGACACTGATATTCTGTCCTTAGCTTCCTTTCACTTCTTATTATACACCCCACCTCCTATTGTGTAAACCTTTCGGCTTTAACTACCACCTATTTACCGAGAATCCCAAGTCAGTGAATACCAAGTATTTAATAGCATTTAAAAGCTTTTATTTTTATTTTAGTCTTTTTGAGGGCATTCACCTCCAGTAAATTCTGAAGAAGTTTTCATTAGTGTCAAAACTAAACTCTTAACTGATAGCATGGATAGCAATGCTCCTGGATCTGAAAAGGAAGGGGAAGCTTCTATCAAGACGTGTGGAACTTCAAACACTACCTTTTAAAAATATGCATCTGTAACAAATGCTCATTTTTCTGGGCTACCCAGATCTTGGTTAGAATTATTTTTTAACTAACTGCTGAAACAGATCTTCAATTACAGTGTAACTTGAGAAACTTGCTGAAGTACCACAGATATGATCTTGGCGACACATCCGATCTAGGAAAAAATTTACAAATTATACAGAATCATAGAGACTTTAGAACAAAAGTGGTTTTTAAGGTGATTGAATTCATTGAATTACATGATTCTGATACATCAATCTTACTGTAACTTCCACACATTAACCATGTCTAATTTTGAATATCTGAAGTGACAAAGAACTATTTTGAGAGATAGTCCATCCAGTTTTTTGCGAGCACTGAGTATTAGAAATTGTTCTCTTTTCTTGAACTATAGGTAATGTGCGTCCTTGTGTCTTTTTCTGTGCACTGGCCCTAATTCAGTGTTTTGGGTTAATGTAAACAAGGCTGATTTGTCTTTCACATCACAGTATTGCCAGCATTTGAAAACAACCATATTCAACCTGTCTATTTCTGGATTTTCTGTTCTTTTCCATCTATATCCCAAGCCCCAACCCCAACCCCCTTTTCTGAGATACGGTTTTGCTAAGTTGCCCAGGCTGGGTTCAAACTTATGATCCTATTGCTTTAGCCTCCCAGGCTGCTGGGATTACACACTTGCAGCATAGCCAGCTTCTTTTTGCTTCCTTATTCTTCTACATAGCTTTATAACCTAGCTGTAGAAAAATATGATTTTTTAAAATGAGGGTAATATTAACTTTATCTACTAGCTTAGGACATACATGTTTATGACCTTGAATTGTCCTTCCTAAGAGCACAGCATAAAGGATGTCTACTTTGTGCCTTTAAATAATGTTTTATACTGTGGTTTGTCATCTTGCATATTTCTTGCTAGGCTTATGCCTGAATACTTCAACTTTTGCTACTTTTAATGATATATTCTTTTTCATTATATTATCTAATTAGTGACTGTTTATATGTATCCTATTGATTTCTGTATTTTAATTTATATGCTGCAACTTTACCAAAATATCTTACTGTTTTTAGCTTTTATTTCAATTGATATTTTTGGGTTGTCTAGATCACTTACATGTAGAGATAGTTTTATGTTTTCTTTTAAATTCTGCTACCAGTAATTTTTTTCTAATCTAATTGTATCAAGTAATTCTTCCACTTTGGTGTTAAGTAGTAATAGAGATAGCAAGCAACCTTGTGGAATTTCTGACTTTAGTGATTTACCTATAAGAAATATGCTGGCGTTAGAGTGATTTATCGTTTTTAAAATATTTTTTCCTAGAAACCTCAGCCCTTCTATGTAGGGCTACTTTTCTTCTGCCTAAATATTTTGTTTGTTTATTTTTTGAGACAGGGTCTTGCTATGTAGTTTAGATTGGTCTTGAATTCACTATGTAACCCAGGATGTTGTAAAATTTGCAGCAATCTTCCTGCCTCATCCTCCTGAGTGCTGGGGTTGCAGGTGTCTTCCACCACTCCTGGCTTGCCTAAGCTTTTAGAGCTTTGTTTCGTGAGGATCTGTTGGCAGAAAACTCAGTTTCTGTTTTTAAGAAGTCCTTACTTCAACCTCATTCTCTCAGCACATTGACAATATTATTTTCATGAATTTCTTGATATTATTTTTATAAAACTGACAATTGAGAATCCAGTGGTCAGTTCTTTTGAAGTTAATCCCTGTCTTCTCTCTGGAAACTTTTAAGATTTTCTTTTTGTCTTTGGCATTTTTCATTATCACTCTGCTGTATATGGATATGGACATGGACATGGATATGGATATGAATATGGATGTAGGTTCTCTTTTCTTTTAATTTGCCTTAAGATTCTCTTGGCTTCCTGAATCTTTTGCTTGCTATCTTCCAGCACATCTGGAAAATTCTTGTCACCAGCTGTCTTAGTCTGTTTTGTGCTGCTATAACAAAATAACCCAAGCTGAGTAGTTTAAAAAGAACATCAGACAGGGGCTGGGGATTTAGCTCAGCAACACATCACCTGCCTGGCAAGTGCAAGGTCATGAGTTCGATTCCTGGTACCAGAAAAAAAACAAAACAAAACAAAAGAAATAGAAAGAACATCAGACATCCAAGATCAAGGGTCTAGCATCTTGTTGCATCATGTGATGGTGTGATAGAATACTGCAGAGTGATAAAAGACTGCATATGCACATCCACACATGCGTGCAATGAGAGAAGGGGCTGAACTTATCCTTCTATAAGGAATTCGCTCCTAGAAGAGCTAAGCCACTCCCACAATAACAACATAAATCCATTCACAAGACCTCGTGACCTGAGGTTCCATTTCTCAGCATTGTTGCACTGAGGATTAAATTTCCAACTTGTGAACTTCAGAGGACACAGTAAGACCATAGCATCACCTATCCATCTGTCGCCTCTGCTTCATCCATTGCCTCTACTGTTATCCTCTCTCTCTTTCCTCTTTGGAACTCAGGATGAATGTGTATTAGAATCTATCCCCCATGTCATTTAACTTTCTTTCATATTTTCCATCTGTCTGCATTGATCCTAGATCACTGCTTCTGGCTTGTCTTCAGTTCACTAATTTACTGCTCAGTTGAATTTAATCTACTATCAAACCATGCTGTGGAGCTATTAAACTTAGTTGCTTAGTCTTTTCAGATCTAATTATTTTTGTAATCTTCTCTCTTCTCAAATTTACATGTAGTGCTCAATGACACTTCAACTCCTCTGACCTTGTTCAACTAATCTGAACTTGTCTCACTCCCCGCACCTGCGTAGCCAACTTTGCGCATTACCTCTGTGAATGGCATCATCACCTAGCCAGTGTGTAAGCAATAAGCCACACATCATTTAAGATGTACCTTTCCCCTGACCATCACATGCCCATCCAATCAGTCTCTAATCATTAGCTCTTAAATGTCTCTTCAATCTTCTCCTGCTTCATCACCAAAACCCCTGTGATCATTTTCCCCATGTGGCCTTTTGCCCCCTACCTTTTCCTCTCTTCCTTCCTTGCTTTCATCCTCCCCTCTTTTCTTTCTCTAACTCTGCTTTCCTGTTGTTGGAGTGATTGTTTTAAAATATAAAGCAGAGCTATCAATTCTCTTCTACCTCCTTACCATGAGGATAAAACTCCAGTCTCCCTGGCATGACAATCTAGCGCTTCCTTTATGTGAGTATCCCTGTCCATTTGCCTCAAAGTTTCTGGCTTATTGAACCACCTGCTTGTGTTTTCAGGACCAGTCATGCACACCCAGCATCCTCTGCCTAGGTCTTTGTGCCTTCTTCTTTCCTTGCCTCATACTCCAAGAAAAATCTCAGATATTATATGCTCCAGCAGACCTCCTTAACCCTTTCTTTTACCCTCATTCTCTGCCTGGTCTAGATTGGGTGCTTCTACTAAATAACTATATTCATCCAGAACTTTTGTTTTGAGACAAGGTCTCACTATGTAGTGCAGGCTGGCCTTGAACTCACTATGTAACCCCCGCTGGCTTTGAATGCACAGCGATACTCCTGCCTCAGCCTTCTGAGTGTTAGGATTACAGGTGTATACCACCGCATCCAGCTAGAACATTTTCTTGTCCTCAAAATTTTAAGTTTCTTATGATCAGAGACCATTTTTATTAACCTTTGTGTGTTTACCACTAGGACAGTACTCAGTTGCAGGATTACTGCTCTTTTAATATGTTTGAACAAATAATTGCTAATATTTATATACACTAAAGCATAATTATAACATTGTTTCATTGCATAGGACATTATAAAAGAATTAATTGAGCCTGGAATAGACAAGCCTGTGCAAGAGGATGAAGGGGGAAATAAGGAAGATAAGAAACTTCAGCAGGAAGAGGAAGAAGAGAAAGTGGAAGAGGTAAAATTATGTGCTTGGCATCATGGTGCACACTTGTAGTTCCAGCTACTTGGGAGGTTGAGGTGGGATGGTCCCTTAAGCCCAGGAGCTGGAAACCAGCATGGGAAACATAGCAAGACCTTGTATTATGTAGTATAGTTTTTTCTTTCTCTTTGTCTTGTAAGACTAGACATAAGTACCACGGAAAGTAGGTTATCTAGAGGAACTCTTTCACTTCCTTCTTTTGCACATAAAGCTTAATTCACACCTGCAGCCACACTTATTATTGTAATTTTTCCCCCAGAGGAAGGGATGTCTCTTTTCCTTTCTAAATCCCACAATTTCCCAGTAGCTTCATTTACACCTATTCTGTTAACTATACAGTCTTCCACATTGTGCTTTTTGTTGTTGTTGTTAGTTTATTTCTTTTTGTTTTGCGATGGGTCTCACTATACAGTTTAGGCTGCTGTGAATTTACTATGTAGCCCTGGCTAGCCTTGAACTCATGGCAATCCTCCTGCCTCAGCCTCCTGAGTGCTGGGATTCAGGCATATGCCACCCCACCTGGCTTCTGTCCCTATTTAAAAAAATTGTAAACTCCATGTCTCCCACTGCTCGGCTGGCTTTCTCCCTTCCTTTCAGGGCCAGCCTCACACCTCTCCTCACCTTACCTGCTCTACCCTTGCTGATGGCTGCATTGGTAGTAAGAGAAACCCTTTCTGGGCATTGTAGTGATAAAAACTACAATGGTAACTACCAATAATTGAGTGCCTATCATGAGCTATAATGCTCTACACATGTTCTCTCCTATCTATACAAAACAACTTCAAGGTGTACAATAGTACCCTCACTTCATAGATAGGAAAACCGAAGCTCAGAAAGTTTTGACTGACTTCCAGAATCACACAGCTTTAAGTAGAAGAGCCAGTGTCCATAGCCACATAAGCCTGGCAGAAGAGCTCTTGCTGGTTCCTAAACTGACTTGCTGCTGTCTTTGGCTTCCATAACTCAAGACTTCTTCACGCTCTCTGCAGTGTCTCGCCTCACTCTCCTGGTGTTCGTTCTGTGCGTGTGGTTTAAATATTGCCACACCCCCAGACTCTGCTCCAGGCCTTCTACTCATTGCAAAGGCAGGACAGCAATTATGAGCAGCAGTTCTGTTTTATTCTGATAAAGCGCCTGGCATAAAGGAGGCCAAGTATTTTAACATTTATTTACAGAATAAATTGAAATGTTATTGTTGTTGTTGTTATTGTCATTACTGCAATTAATGCGTGAACTTAGTTCAAGCCCTTTGCTCTCTATTTTATAATACCTAGCCAGTCTTTAAGTGTTATTTTCTCTGTAACAGTTGAGTTTCTAGGTGAATGTACCCGCCCCTTAAAACACACCTTCATGCTAACAGTAATCATGTTGTACCATGACTCTTCATTTTATTACCTGTTTTTCTTGCTATGCTTGAGTTCCTGAGTTCTGGAAGAAACGCTTTGTTTTTTCCATGGCTATGTTCCTTGTCCCCAGTCCCATATTTCCACAATTTGTCAGTGTTTTTTGTGGGTAAGTCTTCAAAAATGTCTGCTGAATGATTACGGCAAATGATAATTAAAATTTCAGGCATATGTATATATATATATATATATATATATATGGCTAGGATAACTGTACTGCTGATGTCTGGTGCTTTATTGAAAGGAACAGTTAATGCTTAAATTTTTTACATTTTGATCGGTGTGCATGCTTCTGTCTGGTAATCGGAGCATCTGATTGAAGACAACAATATGCAATAGAACAACCATTGGTGAATTCCTACCATGTTGTCTACTGAAACTCTGTATTGTCTCTAATGTTTTTTTAATTATCTTTTTTATTCTCTTTAATAGTTTGATCAATCTTCCATTCTTACATCTGGTGATCTGAGCAACTTTGTAGAAGACAACAATGTGTAATATAACAACCACTGTTAATTCCTATCATTTTGTTTTGAAACCCTGTATTATTCTTAATGTTCTTGCTTTGTTTTGTTTGTGTCTGTGATGTTGGTAGCTTGCTATTGTTCTTTTTTTTTCCTATTCTCTTTTTAAAAATTCCAGGCACTTCTCCAGGTAACTGGATATGTCAGTGTATTATACAACAGCTGGCTAACAGGTCCTTGGTGTTTTTTGTTTTTTGTTTTTTGTGTTTTGCTGCAGGAACCTTCAACATCTGTAGAGCAGGGAAAACTCATTCGATTCATAGGAGAGGATGAAAATGTTCATACCAAACCTCTATTTGAAGCAGATGCATTGTCTTCCTGGGTATGTATCTGGCACTGAACTGGGAAATTTAAAGCTATTGACGTTATATGAAAATGATATGAATCTATATGACTTTTGGTTTTTCCAAGAGGACAAGGGGCTCCTAAGTAATGTATTTTATAGATTTTTTTTTCTTGTAGAATCTTCTATGAAAAACCCTCATTTTTTTCACCCTCACTTTATAATACTTCTTATTCTCATCTTTAAGCCCCATTTTAGTATCACTTTCATCTTTTTGTTAGTTTACAAATTCTTGATCAATATTTGACCACTTGACATCCTCATTCAGCAGATTTTACTGGGATCTGTGATGATCACGAACTTCAAAGAATTATTGCAAGGCTGGAAATTTAAAGATAGTGGTAGGAAGACAGATTTAAAATTTCTCCACAGAAATTGCATTCTAGGACCATGGTACAGCCTCTCTCTCTCTCTCTCTTTCTCTCTCTCTCCCTCTCTCTCCTGGATACTGTGACTGTAAGAGCCAGTGGATGGACTTCATTAGGTCAGCCCCCTAAAATGAGATTCAACATTTTATGTGTATGTTCATTTGTGTATTTGCTTCGCTCTCCCCTAAAGTTAAGAACCATTTCATTGTTAAGGAGTCCTATCCACTGGGTAAGTAGTGGTTTATTTAAGGGTGGGGAGCTATGGCAGGGGTAGTAGACGACAGCTAGGTCACTGAGGTGGAGGCCTGGCTCAAAGGAGAGGCAAATTACAGGGGTGTACACCAGGGAAGTTGTAGGCAATAAGAGCTAATTCCGGTAGGAAGATATGAGAAATCATGTGGAGGGCAAAACTAAGGCAAGAAGAGTGACATTCTCCCCATGTGGATCCTTTTCAATCAATTTTTATAATAATAATCAATCCATAAGTCATCATGACTGTGTGAGGCATAGATGTTAAAGGAAGCAGTACAAATGCAGTGATGCAATGTCACGAGACATGTTTTTAAAACCACCAATCCCAGGCAAAGCCTTCCTGGATCAGACTTCACTTGAAGTAAGAACCCTGCTTTGCTTTCCAAGGGATGTAGCCAGGAAGGAAGCAGGGAAAAACAGGTGCCTGTAACCTGGGGCAAAACTGAGGACCACTGTGTGTCTTCACACAGGCTTGTGATGCAGCTCCTGGATGCCACCGTTCTGTATGATACGGTGTGGTACCATGTGGATAGCTCAGCTGAGGAGGATGTGGCTCAGAAAGTCCATCTCTGGGCTTGTGAAAAGTCACTGTGGCTACCTTATATCACTGAAAGCCAAGCTGTCTAGGTTCTTATTGACCAGTGGTCTGGAGAGTAGATCAAAATGCTTTCTAGATGTAAATTTATGATGCACAAGTTTCTAGAGATTAAGAATCACATTCCTCCTGTGAGGGCAGCAGGTAGAGCATTGTACAGGTAGAATCAGTAGGAGCTCAAACAAAAGAGGCTTAATTGTGCTAGGCTGGTGGGGACAAGATTGATGTTGGTAACCAGGAAAGGAACTTTCCTTGAACTGGCTTATGAGGTCAGACATTTGGGCCAGAGGGTAAAGCTAGAGCAGAGTATCTTGATTTAGGCCACATGTTCTTTCTGTTTACAGAGACAGTGGGGCTCCCTCTAGACAATTCAAAGTTTCAAAACTTTCCATTTTTTTCTTTTGTTTTTATTTGTTTGGTTTTCCTTTATGTTTTTTTGAGATACTCAGATACTTTTGTCCTAAGAACAGAAATAAGCATTTAGTAAGGATATGTGTCCAGGGAACCTGTTGAGGAGCTGTGCTCCTTTTCCTGGTGTAAAAACACAGCTTCTAGGAGACAGTACACTTCACTGACATTGCAGATGGAAAGGAAAAAAAGAGAAGGGGATAGGGAATTAAAAACATTGTGATCTGCAGGTCCTGGGAACTAAGTTGTAGAACAGGAAAGCTCTAAGATGTAGCTGGGTCCTGGGCTTCTAGTGAGAAGAAGCTCCAGATTACTGGGAAGTTAGAGATCTGAACATGGAGAATTCTAGTTAACTCCTAGTGTTCTCTTTTCCAAAGGACTACAGGAAAAGATTCTCCTGGGACTGAGATGCAAGTGATATCTCAACAGGGGTGGTAGTGAGTCATTCCAGTTTGGGTAGGCTGATTGCTTGGCCTGATAAACCAGAGCCTTGCTCCTATTGTTAGCTGAGGTCTTAGTACCCACCACGCGAGTGGTCTGAGCAATGTATTATTCAGAACTGTCCTCAGTGACAGGAGAGATAGGACTTTGTAGGAATTCATTTCTGGTTGTAGTTTTTGTTGTTTGTTTGTTTTTGTTTTTTGAGACAGGGTCTTTCTATGTAGTTCACGCTGGCCTTTAACTCTCTATGTAGCCCAGGCTGGCCTCAAATGTGTGGCAACCCTTCTAGCTCAGCCTCCTGAGTGCTGGAATTATAGGATGTACCACCATGCCCAGCTTTCGGAATTCCTAAGGATTATACCCAAAGCAGGCACTCCTGTACAAAAACATGGCCTGCCATGCTGTATACAAGCACGGCTATCCGTCTGGCACTATGTCTTCAGTCACTAGTGAACCAAATGATCCATTAAGCAGCACTGATCTTGCCTCTGTCTTGCCTGGGGGAAGGCTACTCTCCTTCAGATGTGAACCAAAGTAGTCAGTTCTAAGTTGCTGTTTCACAGTGACCTTCTGGCCCTTCCCAGGCCAGAATTAGAATCAGAATCCTGGCAGCCTGAATTTCATAACATTTCAGCTGTTAGAGAAACAGGATGTCTAAATTCAGGAAGCTCTTCCAGAGGCTACCCAAAATGCTCAGTACAGCTCACCCTAATGCAGACACTTAGCTGTGTGAATAGGATGACTGATAGCCCAGCTACTCAAACAAGGAAGACATTAGAAAGAGACTTTCTCCCATCCAGGTACCAACCAGGCCCAACCCTGCTTAGCTTCTGAGATCAGATGAGGTTGGGCGCATTCAGGGTGGTATGGCCATAGACAGAAACAGACTTCCTAAGGATCATCTTAAACCTATAGGTCTTGACTATGTATAAAGAGTTACAAGTGTGTGAAGAAAATAGGGCATTTTACTGAATCATCTTTTAACTCCTTTGAGGAGCAAGCAGGAGCCAGAATTGGGATCAGCAGTATTTACAATACAAGAATAGACTTTCTGGCTTCATCACCTCATTTTTGTTAAAGGAGATCTGTGTTCTTCTTTTATAATACCAGGTACCTTGGCCATAGGTATTAAGAGCATTGATTATCCATCTTATAACAACAACTGGGAAGGGACTTTGAAACAGATGGTTCCAGAAAGTATGTCCAAAGCTGACAGGAACACAAACCTAACTGGAAGCTCAGTGCTGAGAACTGAATCCAAAGGAGCTGGTGTTGCAGCAAAACTGAGTTCAGGAAAGGAATGACACCTCAGGAAGTCAGGAGGCACTGAACAGCTTTATTTTACACCAGTGGTCCTGGCTGGAATAACTTCCAACAAAAACCAGGCCATGAGTGTCTGTGACCCAGAATATTTACATGACGCATAAGCAGGGGTTACAAAGGTGGGACAGAACAGCCTGGCAATTCTTTTAATTAGCTAGCAGGGCTAGATTAATGACCACAAAGCTTGGTACAATTAAGCATCCTGAATGTTCAGTTACGCTCTCATGGTTTCAGGGGTCAAGAAAGCAACCACAGAGCCATGAAACAGTTACTGAGCTAGGCAGCTTCAAAGACAACAAAGTTTTAAAAAGAATAATTTTTCCTAGTACAGTTTTCCCTTTTACTGGACCTGGAGCCATATCTTTCTCTGAGACATTCCCAACCTAGAGAGATCAGTCCATTAGTACAGTCAAACCCCATCAAGGCCAAGCCAAAAAGGTCAAAGGCAGAATTGGAGTCAAATCAAGATTAGCTTGAAGCTACAACAGATGGGAACAAACAAGAAGAGTACAATACATTTTAAAAGCTAAGGGGTCATGTTCATTTCTGTCATACAGTGAGTGAAAGAGCATGAAAGCCATAGGAAGGTTAAGAATATGAACAAAAGGTCAAGGCTATAGCTGTGACTAGCTTGGAGGCATGTGCATCAGTATTTGGGTGATGCATGGATAATTACTACTTGATATACATAGAAGGTATTAGCAGCAAAGCATCCAGCACTTCAAACCAGAAGAATTTCCTAAATGGTTTGAAGTGGACCCCTAAACATTAATCTATACTGGCCAGTATCAGAACAGAGGGAAGTTTTCTTGGTATATTATCACTAAACATATATCTAATAATTGAATAAGGAGAGTCAGAAGGTTCAGATGTACACAGTGTACAATCCTGGTTTACCCTGGGTTCCACTTATGTTTATAGTTGTTTCACAGGGCCATAAACCATGTGTAGAATTCCAACCTAAGAACAATAGATATGGCATAGCCATAGCACATGCTGCTTGTTCAGGCTGAAAGTACATTAGTCTCCCCTTATCTTTAGGGGATACCTTCCAAGACCTTTAGTGAATTCCTAAAACAGGCAGTACCTGTATTAATCAGTTTTATGTCACTGTGACAAAATACCTGAGACAAACAACTTAAAAGAGGAAAGGCTTATTTTGGTTTACAGTTTCCATCCATGATCACTTGGCCCTATTGTCTTTGGGCCTGTAATGAGGCAGAACATTATGAAGGGGTGCATGGTGGAGCAAAATTTCTTACCTCATGGCATCCAGGAAGAAAAGGGAGAGAGGAGGAGCTAGAGTCCCAGTATCCCCTCTAAGGGTATAGTCCACTAACCTAACGTCCTTCCATTAGGCCCTAGCTCCTGAAAATTCTACCACCTCCCATTAGCACCAGTGACCAGGGGCCTAGTGTGTAAGTCACTTTACTGTTTCTGAGACAAATATCAAGCACCCATAACTTAAAAAGAGGAGAGGATTATTTGGCTTGCGGTTTGCGATGGGTTCATTCCAAAGCCAGCTGGCCCCAAGGCAGAAATGGCAGTGGGGGGAGGCAATGTGAGAAAATGTTGCTTCCCATGGCAGCCAGGAAGCAGAGAGAGGAAGGAGGAACAAGAATGCATCCAGGTTAGGGCTTGGGATTTAGCTCAGCGGCACAATGCCTGCCTGGCAAGCGCAAGGTTGTGAGTTCAATTCCGGGTACTGGAAGAAAAACAAACAAACAAACAAAGAATACATCCAGGTAAGGCCACCAGTACCCACCTGTGACCAGGTCCTGCCTTCTAACAATACACTGAGTTATGAACTTGTTAACAGATGAATCCACGGATGAGCATAGCTCCCCCATGATCCAATCCAAACAGATGAGACATTTGGGGGACATTTTAGATTTAAACCATAACATCTACACTCAGACATTTTTCCCCCATCTATGTTGTGGGGTTTACTTGCCACTGATTGGGAAAAGACAGATAATGGGATTTTTATAAGTACATACTTTCCACAAAAGGTAATATTCACTTGAAAGTATACTTACCATTTTTTCCTCTAATATCTTCCCCACCTTCCTCTTATTTTGATTATTAATTTCAATAATATATCTAGATTCAAAATGAAGAAGTGATTGTATTTTTCAAAGTTTCTCTGCCTGGCAAGATTTATACCTTTAGCTGATGTTTATGAACTTCCTTAAGGAATTAAAAAATCTTATTTGACTTTGCAATGTCATATGCTTAGTGAAGTAATGAAATTCCTGTCCATACATAGTATGAATAATTTGGAATTTGCTAAGCTATGTGGCCACAGGCAATCCCCATTATTTTTGGTATTAAAGATACGCTTAATCTTCTATTAGATAAATATAAGCAGTAGAAAAAGAATATCATGGAAGGCATGATATTGAATATCTTGAGGAAGTAGAGTATTAACTGTTGGGATTCTCAATTCATTTATATTACATCTTTCCTTTGTCAGAGAGAATCGGCTAACCAAGGTACACTGACCCAAAAGTATCTTGAAGCAATGACTGTAATTGAACATATGCAGGCAAAGTTAATGTGAGTATGAAAGTGTCACAGTGATATGGGGATGAAGACTATGGGTCAGCAGGTTTGGCTGAGAAATCCACTTCTTTGTTTACCTTTCTTTGGCCGTCTTGCTTGCATTATTCTCACTAGGGGATGGGTATCTCCAAGTCGTCTGGAGGCAGTGAATTTCATGACTGTGGTAGGAACATCCATCCTTACCCACGGTGCAGATGGAAGTCAAAGTGTGTGTGTGTGTGTGTGTGTGTGTGTGTGAGAGAGAGAGAGAGAGACAGAGAGCGAGAGGGAGGGAGGAGGTACTATGATTTAATTTAGTAAGTTTTCTAACAGATGACTTAAAGAAAACAGTAGAACTGGGAGAAAGTAGTGTGCTTAAGAAAGAATGTTGCATAACCCAAAGAGGATAGTACAGTTCAGATGAGTAAGGATGTGAAGAAAAAAACATGGGCAATAATATATACATATATATATATATGCTCTAATAAGTAAGGAGAATTTCTCAGACTGGTTGTCTTGATTGTAAAATCTGGCTTTAGGAGCACTAAAAAATAAGGGATACTATTGGATTTAGTTTATTGGATCACATGAAACCGAAGTTAACTCCGGAAAGAGGGTCCCTGACTATTGATGGAGAATCTCAAACACCCCAAAGTCAAAATTCACTGATTAATGATAAATATGTTGTTTCTTCAATCATGGCATGATTGCAACTCTAACGTTAGGATCCAGAATAGTTTCTAAGCCTTCAGTTCTTTGTTAATCTTTGAGGCTCCTGCTATTTCTATTTGTACTTGAAGACACATTCATCTACTCCCACTGCCTTTGTTTTTTTACACAGGGAGTTTCTAAGTCAGACGTAGTTGTTACCTCATTCTGGTTTTTTTGTGTTTTTCCTGACTTTGCTTGCATCAGGGAGGTTGAAAGCAGAGCCAGAACGGCGGAGGAGAGGTTTGAGGATGTAAATGAAAAGCTTCATTATACCCTCATAAGAAATACAGATCTGGAGAAGGAACTAGAGGAAATAGGCGGTAAGCTGAAATCAGGGTCTGAAAAAGAAGAGGAAATTGAAGAAGAAAAAGCAGAGGAGAAAGAAGACAAAGAGGAGGAGGAGGAAGTCAGGCCAGTCGAAAGTGTCACACAACCTCAAAAGAAAGGTAAAACTTGCTTTCTTGTTTTGCTTTATTTGGGTTATATTTAAAAATAGACCTTGACTTGATCACAAGTATTTTAAAAGAACAATATATTTAGAGCTGATCCACTGGTCTGTACTTCTCATAGGCGTGCAGGTACTTTTAACAATCTGATCCAGGACACCCACACCCACCCACCCACTCACATACACACACACATAAACAAGATACTAACAACTGTGGCCAAATAAACTAACACAAAATACAAGTTTTCCTTAAAAAACTCGTAGTCTTTTTTACTGAAAGAAAACAATACTGATCAGAACTTCCAACATAGTTTTACAAGTAATACTGGGGAAATACTGTAACTACTTCTGTTTTCCTTGTCGTCCCCATCTTACCTCCAGCACGAGCAATGAACGCAGTCAGCCCCCACAGCCCCTGACCTGAGATACCAGGGGCATCAGTACTGTTGGAGGAAGAGTTTGAGCTCATTTTCTTTACTGCTGTCAACTCTGAACTGGTGAAAACATTATTTATTCCAAAGCTGACAATCCTTTAGTTTTAGGATTCGAGTATATGTGAAATAATTTTTTCATGAATTTAAAAAAATTTCATCCTCTTAAATTTTAGATGTAGTTTTATCCCCACAGTTTAGAAACTAGACCTTTTCCAGACTTAGAAAGCTAAATATGCAAACCATACAAAAAGCCTCTGTTAAACTGAAGAGGTTACTTCAATATGGAATGAGAAACTTTAATTGTGCCCATTTCCCTAAAATCCTTGAAGATTAGGTTAGGTCCAGAATTGAGAAGCTTTATTCTTATTTATTTTTATTTATTTATTTATTTATTTATTACCTTTTTGAGACAGGCTCTCACTATGCAGTTCAGGCTGGCCTTGAACTCACTTTGTAGCCCAGGCTGGTCTTGAACTTGTAATGACCCTCCTCTCTCAGCCTCCCAAGTGCTGGGATTACAGGGGTGCACCACCATGCCTGGCTGAGAAGCTTTAATGATTTAAAGTAGAAGTAACTATACACAGTTAGTCCCCAACCTGTGCGAAGACATTGCCGCTCTGCTCCCACCTTCCAGACACTGCCAGCAGAGTCAGCACTAAGGGCTCTAAAGTGGGGGATGAGGAGCTTCGCAAAGCCTGGGAGGCCTGGCTCCTCACCAAGGCAGCTACTTGCCTTGTGGGTGACCAGACTGTCTGTCCACAAGGCAGACATTTCTTAGAGCCAGCAGGTAGCCCTTGAAGAAGAACAGATACTCTGGAGCAATCTGACCCTGCTCTATTTGTGAGAGTCAGTGCAGTGTGGTGAAATCACTGTTTTCCTGAGACTTGTGCCATGAAAGAATGGAAAATTCTATCTAGGTAAATAAGGAGTCTATGAATGCTGAGTAAAGAGAAAGACCTGGACAGAATAGTAGAACATATTTTTCTTTTGATGTCCATATTTTTAATGATTAGCAAATCACTGTGCTCTGAACGATGAGTAATGAAAGGAACTGAAAAGAAAGTTTACAGAGATAAATATGACTTAGTCCTTGATCTCACAAGGGCTTGAAAGTGGGTGTGGGGAAGATACACTAAAATCAATGCAAGTGTTGAACAAAGGTGAGCAAGAGTGGGAGGAAGATGGCCCCAGCCAGTCTGAAGGATTCAAATTGGGAAGCTGGGTGTCAAGGAGCCACTTTTCACGTCCCTGCCAGGAAGAGCAGGCCTGATGGCCCGAGGCCTCTGGCACGCATTCCAGGGTTGGGGCTTGTGTCAAGTCTGCTCTCAGGAGACTGGAGAAGCGGGTGCAGACAGTAGAGGGGTACCGTACAAAGGAGGGCTGTAAACAATATTTGAATTTTTTCCACCAAGCTTGAGATATGAGCAAGAGTAAGGAGGAAATATTCTTCCTTCTCTTCTTTGCTCCTTGGCCATGTAGTCCGCTGCTCCAGCACCTAGAACTCAAGCAAGTAACTGACTGTGCTTAATGTATTCTGAATCCCAATAACCACTCTAGGGTCAAATTTTTGACACAGAGCTTCTTTATAGCTTAGAGGTTACTTGGGTAAAATGGAATTTTAAAACTGCTTTTTAAACTTAAAAGCCCTTCGTAAATATATTATTACTATAATACTCTACTTGTTTTTGTCTTTTTAGAGGCAACACGCGTTACTAAATCCAAAAGCCGGACTAAATCCAGTAACAAGCCCAAGTCCAAGTAGCATCCGTAGAGCACAGGGGTTCACAGTGGCTGCATCCACTGAATACATCAGACATCGCTGATCTGTGGAACTGACAACATGCCTCACTTGGAGATTTCCCCTTGCAACAGCTGCTAGAAGGGCCACAGTATACAACCCAAGAGCATTTGCTCACAAAAAGCACAACAGTGGCTAAGGGACTCGGTGTACTAGTTTACTTTCCAGATTAAAAACAGTTTACAGAAAGGTTTGCTAGCCTCTCTGATTGGTTTCCTGAAAGATCTGTGAAAAGTGTTGGTTTCTATCAGGAAAATAATGCTTTTGGAAGACTCTGAACCCTGCAGAGAAGACTGGCAAATAAAAAACTTAATTTTTTCAATTTAGAATGGAGGATCCAGATACCCTTAGGTTTCTGCAGCATTTTTAGATTTCTTCTGATTTCAGACATTCTTATGATTTCTCTGATCCTCACAGTGACCCTACAAATAGGTGAGGGAGGTACTGCTCTCCCCATTTCTAGAAGAATGAAACTGAGGACCAGGATGGTTAGTGATAGGTTTTTCCAGCACTGAGAGACGTAAAACAGAATAAAATGCCTTTATGGTGGGTGCAGAGAAGACCACAGTAGGAAAGAGTGAGGTGGAGCTTCTGTTGCCTTGCCTAAGGTCAAAGGTTAAATAGGCCCAGGCTGGAAGTGGTGTTTAGGGGGCGGACCACCTGATGTGGCAGACCAGGATTGGGCAGGAGTGTGGGAAAAGGAAACAGGATGTTTTAAAAAGGGAGGTAGGAAGTCCTAATTTGACTCAGAGGAAGAAGGGTGCACATGACCTCTAGTGGCCAGCACCATATTGGCTGGGCACCATACTTGCTCAGCACCATAGCACATGATCTCCAGTGGGCAGCGCCATAGCGACTCTGCAGGAATTACAGTGAGGCAAGAAACCCATCAGTTACAAGGCTTTCTGAAGTTACAGAGCTGATTGGCATCCAAGTCCCCAGCTTGTTAGGCTCCTAGACTGTTTGGCAAAGAGCTACTTGGTCTTGGCTCACATGTCTTCCTTCACAGGGGCAGTATTGCTGAAGACTCAGCCAGGATCTCCTTGTATTTTATTTTAATTTTTTTTTGTTGTTTTATTATCTCCAATGTCTGCTCTGTTAATGACCCTATGTCCATATAGACATGCAAGATGGACTAACCTCAAAATAAGTTAAAATGACAAATGGATATGCCGGGCAGTCACTCACCAACGGCTGCTTCCTACATTGGGCTGCTGACTCACTTGTACTTTATCTCTCTGACTCCAAACATTCACGGTGAGACTGCTACACTTGTTTTGGCTTCATACGTTTGATATTCCTTTGGATTTCTCTCCTGGAATTTTAGGCCTTTACTTTTCTGGCCTCAGAAACCACCTAACTCCAGAGCCTCCAGCTGTATTTATTTATATCTTTATTTTTTATTACTACATGTTCTCCATACATAATAATCACATTCATCGTGGGGAATTTGTACCTGTACACAATATATCTTAATTCTTTTTTCCTCATTCCTTTCCTCTCCCTTCAGCACTTTCCCTTTCCCCATTTAAAAAATCTATTACTCTTTTTCCCTCCCATATCTTTTTAAAAAATCTCTTCTCACTTCCTTCCCTTCCCCTCCCCCGTCCCTTGTTTTCCCATTTGAACAAGTTTTTCTTACTTCCCCATACCTATCCTCTAATTGCTCCTTACTTACACTTTGGGTTTCTCACACAAGAGAAACAGTGTCATATTTAAACTTGTATGTCTGATTTATTTCACTCGAGATTATGCTCTGGAGATGCATCCATTTACCTGAAAATGTCTCAAATTTATCCTTCTTTATGGCAGAGTAGGACTCCATTATATATATAAATGCCACATTTTATTTATCCAGTCATCTGTTGATGGGCATGTGGGCTGTTTCCAAGATTTAGCTATTATAAATTATGCTGCTATAAACATAGGAGTGCATGTCTCACTGTGGTATGATGCTTTTAGCTCTTTGAGGAAGATACTTAGAAGGGGAATGGCTGGGTCAAATGGAAACTCTAGTTTTGGTTTTCTGAGGAATCTCCACACTGATTTCCATATTGGTTGTACCAATCTACACCCCCACCAACAGTGAAAAAGGGTTCCTTTTTCCTCACAAACCCTCCAGCATTTATTTTTGTTTTGTTTTGTTTGTTTGTTTGTTTTTGGGTTTTTTCCAGTACCAAGAATCAAACTCATGATCTCGCGCTTGCCAGGCAGGTGCTGTGCCGCTGAGCTAAATCCCTAGCCCCCCTCTCCAGCATTTGTTTTTTTGTTTGGTTGGTTGTTTGGTTATTTTTTTTTCCAGTACCGGGAATCAAACTCATGACCTTGCACTTGCCAGGCAGGCACTGTGCCACTGAGCTAAATCCCCAGCCCCTTCAGCATTTGTTATTGGTTGATTTCTTGATAATAGCCATTCTTTCTGGGGTGAGATGGAATCAATGTTGTTTTAATTTGTGTTTCTCAAATGGCCAGTGATGTTGAATATTTTTTAATATATTTATTTGCTGTTTAAATTTCTTTATCTGAGAAGCATTTGTTCATTTCAGATGCCCATTTTTGGATTGGGTCTCTATTGGGGGGGGATCTAATTTTTTTTAATTCTTTGTATATTCTAGGTATTAGTCCTCTGAGAAGTAGCTGGCAAAATTTTTTTCCCATTCTGTGGGTTATAGCTTCACTCTGTTGGTAGTTTCTTTTACTGTGCAAAAGCTCTTTAATTTGATGTGATCCCATTTGGTGATTCTTTGTAGTATTTCCTGTGCAATCAGGGTTTTGTTCATACAGTCTTCGCCTCAACCTATGTCGCCAAGAGTTTTACTATTCTATCTTCCAGCAGATCAAGTGTTCTTGTTTTAATATTTAGATCTTTGATCCATTTCAAGTTTAGTTTAGTGCCTTTTGAGAGATATGGCATGTGAAAAGCCAGTTTTCCCAGCACCACTTATTAAAGAGGCTATCTTTCTTCCAGTGAAGGTATTTAGCCCTTTTGTCAAAGATAAGGTAGCTGAGTGTGCTTGGAGTTGTTTCTGCATCTTCTGTTCAACTGATCCTCAAGTCTGTATTTTCTGCCAGTACCATTCCCAGCCTTATTTAAATTGAACCACTTCAGAACTTGCATGTGTGGTCTTCTATATTTCATTCCCACCATGACATTACGAGCATTTGTTTCAAAGTACACATGCACTTACGATCATAGCACAGTAAAAGCAGGACCAAAGAGAGTTTCTCCTCATGGTGGGCAACAGTTACAGTCTGACAGCAGTCTCCTCCTTTTTCTTGCCTCAGTTTGACTACTTGGATGACCAGAGTGGAAAGTGGGGGATGGATTACCATTGTTACTTTGTTCACCGCATAGTCTGTTGGATATCTAGTTGTGGTTGGGAGTGGGTTTTTCTCGCCTCCCAAAAAGTAGTTTTTCTGATGAGAGGTCATGGGACCTGTTTGTTATATCTTTATAATATAGCTCTCAGCTATATTGCTCTAGTGCTTCTCTAACCTCAGAAAAAGTTGGAAGTGCAATTAATGACCCCTTTTCAAAGGATTTAACTTCTGCGTCCTCTACTTAATTCTTATCCTCTACTGAGCAAATGCACCAACACAAGCCAGAATTTTAGAGGGCACGGGAATGCTCATTGCCCCAGCAGACCCAATGCTAAAGAACACTGTAGTAGCATAGTCAGGAGCAAGCTGAAAAGACTACTGCCGGGCATGTATAGATCATACTGTTTGAAGAAACACGCAATCTGGTAAATTCTATACTGAAACACATTACTCTTGGCTCCTATTTATAGTGATTCTGCCTCAGTTTTAAAGAATATACATATATGGTTTTTACCCTTTTATTAACTTCTTTATTAAAAAAGGAATCTCCCTACAAAGAATTCCTTTTAAATTCTTTTCACTGGGTGTAAATTTAATGTCCAGCATGAGCACATCTCTTCTTCCATTTACTCGGAACACTGACGGTCACTGCTGCACGACTATCAGGATGAGGGGTGAGGAACTGGGGTGGAGCTAAAAGACGGAGTGCGGTGGGCAGTGGTGAGCGTGCAGCTCCTTTAATGATCTGGTAGTGTAGCTGGAGTGAAGGCTGAATCTTAAATACATGGTTATGATTGAGTGTGATAAGCACAATGATAAGGGCTCAGAGAAAGGGATACGGGGCTGCAAACACCTTGCCAAAGGCCCCAGCGACTACAGTAAAAAGGACATCTGAACTAAGGCTTCACAAATCTAATTGAACCACTTTTAGAATCAAAGTTTTTCCACATGAGAATGTATCCTAAAGCTCCTTCCCATAATTCCTCTGATTAGATGATCCACCTAACTTGTTAGATCGCTTCTCCATCCTTATACAACCTCACCCTCTTCTCATATCTGTGTCTGCATTGTGATGTAAGGCGTTCCAAAGACATTCCATTTGGCAACCAAAGAAGGGCAGAAAGTGAGGCTGGAGTGTCTCACACGGATCCTTTACAGTCACATTATGCTTTGCCTATCTACCCTATAGCATGGGAGAATCTTTCTTTTTGGGATTTAGTGGCTCAACAGGTTTGGGAGAATTCGGGAGGGGGATGCTTCCTTGAGTTCGACCACTGGGAGAGGACAGGAGATTTAGCATGTCAAAAGGCAAAGGTAAAACCACAGTGGAAGGTTTCTCTGTGGACAAAGACTGAAGAGTGTGGAGGTATCGAAGCTGAACCGCAGCCGGGGTACCTGACAGAATCTCAGCTGCCATCCTCAGGGACTCGGAGGCAGCCTTCTCCCCTTCCGCAGCTATCATCTAGAAAACAGATGTGAAAAAAGCAAAGTAACTGTGCTTCTCTATTCTGTGAGGATTTTAATGGCTCGCTATTCAGTGTGCTTCAACGAACAAGCACTGTGGATCGACTAGGCGGCAGGTACTGCGAGCACAGGAGAACAGACTGAGCTTTTGTTCTGAAGGTTCTTGAGGTATGGGAGACAGATGAAACAATTAGTCAATGTTCATTCAAGGTGGAAGTTGTTATGGGCCATGACAAGTATAAATGAAGCAATAAGAAAGTAATTAATATCTGGTGGGCTTGAAAAATTCGTAGGATTTTGCCATGCAGAAGAAAAGTTGGCCAGCATTCCAGGTAAAGGCATGGAATGATGAAAGGTGACCGCCAGCTTGGTCAAGACAAATGGTAAGCATTTCAGAAGAGAAGGCACCAAGCTTTCCACCCAGATGCCTCCTGAAAGTAGCAAGAGAGGACCACCTTTCTGCCCTTCGGTGCTCCAAAGCTATGCTGCTTTCCTGTAGTTAGAGTTTTCTCTTCATCTACTTCCTGTTCTTCTTTCTTTCCTCAATATCCTCTTTCCAGCGCTCCCCACCCTCCACTCTTTGGAAGGGGCTGGCAGTAGATCTTTGCTGCTCCCCGGCACTGAGGGAACAGGGCGCTGTTCATGAGTGTTCCTTCAAAGTTTGCGCAGGTCTAGGGACACAAGCCTGGGACCTACAGGTGATTAATCTAGAAGCGACAGGTGACTGAGATTACCCAGGAAAGGATGTCAGTCAGTGCAAGAGAAGGATGACAAGGGAGGAGAGAGGATGAAGGCAAGATTCAGGAAGGAGGTGGACACTGTTAGCAGGAGCTCTGGAGAGGAAGGGGTGTGGCTAGTAACATAGTGTAAGAGCCATTCTAATAGAGTGGTGGGGCACAAGCCAGATTCCGCCCAGGGCCTGGACGAGTCAAAGGTAAAGAAGCAAAGCAGAAGTGTTCTCCACAAGCTGGCCTTCCTTGGGTCCCCTGGTGCTCCTCAGGAGCACCTGGTGGGTTAGGAGTACTCAGCGCCGGCTCACCCGCACTTTGGCCTGTCTCTGTGCTTCGGCCTCCACAGCCAGCGAGTGCTGAAGCCCGGCAGGCAACCTCACGTCTTTACTGAAAGAGAAAACAGGCGGGCATTAGGTGCGGCAGTGACCTTAGCAGCCAAGGCTTCCTTACACACTTGCCGCCCTCTCCACCGCTGTCCCTTGGGGAGTACATTTTTGATGTAATAGAATGTGCAGTCTGTCCCGAGAGTGGACAGAGCCTCACATGCAGACGTGGACCACCACTGATGCTGCAGGGGCCCGCGGCGTTGTCTTCATATGCACGGCACATTTTGTGTTCAGGTGTGATCATTTTCCAACTAAAGATTTAATCTAACCTCTAGCTATTAAATTTGACACTGAAAACCAGCCTTGAAGAACCATACAATTAATAACAAAGAGGAATTTATCTCAGTTTATAAAAGGGATTGATTTTGAAGAGTAAAACCAACCAAATAAAACCTTAGTGGTTTTCTAAAAGATACAAAATTGTCTTACTACCCCAAGTATAGCTGTGAAAAGCACATATGGTATGCTTATAAAAAAATATATATATATATATATATATATATATATATATATATATATATATAAGAGTTATATATATAAGAGTTTAGTAGCTCTTCAAAAAGTTAGAGTTACCATATAATCCAGGTATTTCACTCCCACATACACTCCTATGTATGTGAACATACTCAAAAATAACTTGCAAGTGAATATTCACTGTAATATTATACATAACAGCCAAAGAAGTAGCTAATCAGTGAACAGATAAACAAAATTTTATATAGACATACAATGGAATATTATTTAACTATAAAAAGGGATGAAATACTCACACATGTTATACCATAGATGAACCTTGAAAACATTATGCTAAGTGAAAAGCCAGACACAAAAGGCCTGAATTTTGAATATGATGTGATTCCATTCATGTGAAAAGTCCAGAACAGGCAGATGCATAGAAAGCCACTAAATTAGTGGTTACCAGGGGCTAAGGAGTGAGAGGCAGAGGGGAGCTTCTGGTTAATGAATACAGGCTGCCTCTTACAGTGACGGAAACATTCTGAAATGAGACGATAGTGGAAGTTATATTTTGTGAATATACTGAAACCACTGAGCTATATGCTTTAAAACTGTGTGTGTGGTTTTATGTGATTTTTTTTTTTTTTTTTTTGGACAGGGTCTTGCTATATAGTTCAGGCTGGTCTTGAACGCACTGTGTAGCCCAGACTGGCCTTGAAATCACAATCCTCCTGCCTCAGCCTCCCAAGTGCCGGTATTACAGAAATTCATCACCATGCCTGACAATTTTATGTGATTTTATCTTTTTTAAAAAAGTTTTTTTTTTTTTAATGCATGGTGCAAAAAAACCGTAGGGGTCATTTGCCCATATGTGATAATGTATTGTGTATTTTGGCTATGAGATATTAAATGATTTTCTCCTTCTTTGTTCCAAATGTATACTAATGTGGCTACAGCTCTCAAAATGATTTTTCAAAAGTGAAATATTTTAGATGAAACAAAAATATTCCCCTTTATTATATTGTTCTTCCTGGTTGTTTTCCTACCCACATTTCTGTTCTCTCCACTTTGATTCCCCAGATACAGGTCACTGAATCCAAGGCAACCTGTGGAAGGAAGGGTTTAGATGTCAGTAGGAGCAGAGCACATCCAAACACCAGTGGCCGTTGCGTATTAACAAAGAATAGTTCCTCTCAGGGGACAGTACTTGTGTGCTTTGCTTTGTTCAACTTCATGGTGCGTGCCACAGAGTTAAGCTGTACAGTGCCACTCGGCAATTACTTGAGGAACTAAAGTGATGTGACAGGATGCAAATGGCCCCCAGCAATGTCCATCTCCTAATCGCTAGGACCAGAGAATGAATGCTACCGAAGGGGTTCTCTGTGATTAAGTCAAAGAATCTTGAGACAGGGAGACTATTCTGGATTATCTGGTGGGCCCTACATGTAACCACAAGGGGCCTCAGAAAGGCAGAGAGATCTAGTGACACAAAGAAGGGGCTGTGAAGATGAGGCAGAGCTTGTAGAGGTGCACTTTGACCATGGAGGAAGGGGAGGAAGGGCTGGGGAATGCCGGCAGCCACTAGATGCTGAAAAAGGTGAGGAAACAGATGTGTCTCTCAGAACCCTCAGAAGAAATCAAGCCTGCTGACACCTTGATGTAAGCCCGCCGAGATGGGTTTGGACTCTGGTCTTCAAGACTATAAGAGAATAAACTCGTATTGTGTTAAGACACCAAGTTTGTGGTATTATTATAGAAGCAATAGGAAACTATCATATAGATGGGGTATATATTAATATGCTTTAAAATGCATTTATTAGAGAATAAGACTCTAGCCTCCCTGCCAAATGGCTGCCACTTAGAGGGTGCTTTCTGTTCCTTCCTGCTGGTGGCATCAGCTCCCCCTGCTTCCCAGTCCTTTCTGTCCTCAGGCTAAAGTTGGAAACAGAGTGTGGGGGGTGAACTATGGGTTCCGGAGAGGAGAGGCAGGGTCCAGAGCTCTCTGTGCTGCCTGTCCTCTTCCCTCTTTATTTTCTGATGATTTCTTAGGGCATAGAGGGTCCGAGAAGACTGACTAGTGGGGGGCAGGTGAGAGTAAGGAATGTTGATAAATACACCACAGAGGAGGAGGCGGCACCCTAAAGAACACATAGTATTTTCCCTGTGGGAAAAAGGAAGGATTTCCTGTAGGAGATACAGCTCAAGAGGAGGCCTGGAAGCAGAGAAGTACCGAATGCTGGGCAAACAAGTAGGCTGGAGAATTAGATTCAAGCGGAAGAAGGACGGCAAGGTGAGGGTACAACAGTTGGGTCATTTCTTCATTCATCCAAACAACCACCTGCTGTGTGACAAGTCCCATGCCAGGAGCTAAGGACAAAGAGGTGAATGAAATATGGCACCTGCCATTATAGAGTTATCATAACATGTAAATACATAAATTGTAATTTAGTGTAACAAAGGTGAGCTTGAATGACAAGGGTCCGGACTTTATCCTTCAGAGGAGAAGGACAAACAAGGAAGGGGCTGCAGGGGACACTTGAGGAGTATGCTGAGTGTCTTCTAAATGACAGAATAGTGACTTCCATATGTCCCTCTCATTCTTTTTCTTTCTAGCTCCTCTTATTTGCCATTTTTCCCTTTTTCATCAAGATGCTAATTCTAGTTTTCTAATATTTGCACACTGTTCTTTTTTTCAGATTAGTAACTGCTCAGGTCCCATGAAGAATAATTGCGAATGCCTTGGATTCTTATGGTCCATTTATTTAAAGTCCTCCTGCCACCTCTATCTAACTTGCAGTCTCATAGCTCATTCTGGGCTTGCGTGTGCCATGGTGTCAGGGGTAGGCTCGTCCCTGGTGTCGCCACTTGGCTGGCCAGCTGTCTGGAGGCTGGCTCTGCTCTCAACCTGTCTCCTCAGTACCCGCTGCCCATGGATGCTGGATTGCTGCCTCTGGGCTACATGAGGCTGCTCTTTTCGCCTTCTCTAATTCCAAATCATTAAATCTAGACAATTGATTCTCCAGAACCCACAGTTCACCGCCACCCCACACACACACACACACACACATACACTCTCTGTTTCCAACTTTAGCCTCAGAGGACAGAAAGGACTGGGAAGTAGGGGAACTGATGCAATTAATCATGAAAGTATTGAGACACTGTAACTATTACTCCAGAAAGCCATGTTTGAATTCGCATTACTTAACTTTGTGCATGCTGTGCTTGTTTCCCCAGCTGGTCTGCAAGCTCCTAGGAACCAGCTCATCATCTTCACCTACTGCCCACCCCTCCCACCCATCCCCACTGGCCCCAGCACTCCCCCCGCAGCCACTCCCAACATTTTGTGAGTATTTTATAATGAATTTAAATCGCAGGAGTGGACCCACCAGTTACTGGGGTAGGGCAAAATCTGTGTACCAGGACTAGTGGCCTTAATTGACTCAGGGCCAACTTGGGAACCTCCTAATTAGCTATAACCTCTCTAATGGATCACATTTTGAACAGTTAAATGCACAGTAAGTGGAATGTTTAATAACCCTCCAATGAATAAATGAGTAAAAGATATTTCAAAATATTCAACATTGAACTTGTCTGATTACCTTTACATCTTGAGCAATGGTCTTCCTCTCCAGAAGAATTTCTGTGAGAGATCTATGTGCTAAGAGACGCTTCATGGTGGTTTGCACAAGAAATTGGACAGCTTTGGACACTTGAGCAAGACTGCTTAGGAGAAGAGAGGCGTTTTCCATTCGGTAGTAGCAGACAGCATCTATCTCCATTATAAACATGTCTTTGGTCACAACCTAGGCAGGAAAAAAAAATTTTTTTGATAGCAGCCTTGATTCCTTGGCTCCTCTGTGGAGCTAAAGGAACTAAATGTTTTCAAACTGAATTTTCTTTTTTTCAAAGAGAATTTTCTCAAAGTAAGATTATAGCAAGGGGGAAAAAGAGTGGTTAGTGGTCAATTCAAAATTGACATGTTTTTGGGAAATTATGGAGTTTTTATTACATACACTGAAGAATTCACAATTTACGGGAATTGTTTTTATTTTAAATCCTTCTGTAAAAAAAATCAGGCATAATTTATAATTTTTGTTGAACACATTCCATTGATTTTATATTAGACCTCTGTAAAATAATGCACACAAATCTGGTAAAAGAGAAGCACATTGTGGGAAATAAGCACTCACATATATGCTTCCTGGAGTGCACACTCGAGGCTAATTTGGTGCAGCAAATCCAAAGTCCTTACAAATGCAAGTTTTTGCAATGAAACAGAGGCAGCAACAAAAATCCGGACACCCGAGAAAAGTGGACCTGATGAATTCACTGCAGAATTTTACCAGAACTTCAGGGAAGAACTACTGCCAGTACTCCTCAAACTTCTCCATGAAACTGAAGGGAAAGGAACACTGACAGATTCATCCCTTGAAGCTAGCATACGCCAAATCTAGACAAGGAATCAACAACAAAAACTACAGCCAATTTCCTTAAGGAACACAGACACAAAATTTGATACTTGTAAACAGACAGCAACAAATCATTAAAAAGATTATATATCTTCGCTTGATCCCAGCAATGCAGGATGATCCAACATACATAAATCAATAAATGTAATGTGCCACATAAGCAGAAGTGAGGAAAAAAAGTCACAGTATAACCTCAATAGATGCAGAAAATGTCTTTAACAAAATCTAACATCAACTCATGATAAAAAAAAACCTGCTGATGGAAATAGGAATAGAAGAATGTTACCTCAAACTGATAAAAGCCTCTTGCAACAAACCCACTAGCAACATCATGCTAAATGGGCGCTCCCTCTAAAATCAGGAACAAGATGAGGATGTCCATTCTTACCACTCCTATTCAAATTAGTACTTGAAATTTTAGCTAGAGCGATCCAGCAAGAAAAAGATGTAAAAGGGGTATGAATAGGAAAGTAAGATATTAAACTATCCTTATTTGCAGATGATATGGTCCTTTAAATATAATACCCCCAAAAATTTCACCAGCGGACTTCCTAAAACTAATAAATTCAGCAAAGTCATAGTATACAAAATCAATTCACAAAAATCAGTAGTGTACTACTTGTACACCAACAATAAACACATCTTAAAAGAAATCAGGAAAACAATCCCATTCATGAGCTTCAAAAAATTACCTAAGAATTAACCAAATCAAGGAAGTGAAAGACCTCTATAACAAAACCATAGTACTCTGAGAAAAGATTGATGAGGACATTAAGAAATAGACATCTCTTGATCTTAGATAGGCAGAATCAATATTATTAAAATGGCCACATCAGCAAAAATTTTTAGCAAAATCAATATATAGATTTTATGAAATTCTAATTTAATTGTCAACAGCATTCTTAACACAACTAGAAAAAGCACTCCTAAAATTTATATGAAGGCGGAAGAAATACAGAATAGTCAAAGTAATCCTAAGCAAAAAGAGCAAAGCAGAAAGCATTACAATCCTGGACCTCAAGTTATATTGCAAAGCTACTGTAATAAACACAACATGGCACTGGCACACAGACAGATATGTTGATCGATAGAATAGAATAGAGGATGCAGAAACAACCCCAGGTATCATCAGCCATCTGATTTTTGATAAAGTGAACAAAAGCGTAGGCTAAAGATATTCTCTTTAACAAAATGTATCCAGAAAGCTGTTTATGCATGTGCCAGTGAATGAATCTAAACTTGTATCTCTCACCCTGTACTAAAATCAAATTAAAATGGATCTAAGACCTAGATATTAAAACAGAAACATTAAATATTCTGGAAGATAAAAATAGGTGAAACTCTGGAAGACACAGAGATAGGCAAAGGCTTTCTTAAAAGAACTCCAATTACAGAAGAAATAACACCAAAATCGACTAATGGGAGTATATCAAAATAAAAAGCTTCTGCACAGCAAAGGAAATGACCAACAAAGTAAAGAGACTCTAAAATGATATAAGAATTTTGCCAGCTTATCCTTGAATGGAGAACTAACACCTAAAATATATAAAGAACTCAAAAGATTAGACTCCCGCCAATAAAAGACCCAATAAAAATGGGCAAATTAATTGAATAGACAGCTTTCAAACAGGAAGTACAAATGGCCAATAAGTACATGAAAAAATGTTCAGCATCTTTGGCCATTAGAGAAATGAAAAAACAATACTGTAATTCCATCTTACTCCAGGAAAAACAGCTATCATCAGGAACTCAAAAAAAAACAAAAAATACTGGTGAGGTTTGAGGAAAAGGATCCTCCTGTGAGGCAGGAGGATCGTTGTGAGTTCGAGGCCAGCCTGGGCTACAAAGTGAGCTGAAGGCCAGCCTGAACTGCATAGCTAGACCTTGTCTCAAAAAAAAAAAAAAAAAAAAAAGAGAAGTTAATAGTAGAAATTCCACTGGGCCCAGCTACACCTCTCCTGTGTATCTTGTCAAAAGAGTTAAAGACATTGTATTGCAGTGATACATGCATACCTATGATTTTAGCAACACAATTAATAATAGCAAAATTATGGAAGCAGCCTATAGGCCCATGAACAGATGAATGGATAAAGAAAATGTAATATATATAAAGTGGAGTGCTTAGCCATAAAGAAGATGAAATTTGAGTCATTGTTAGGAAAATGGATTGATCTTGAGACTATAATACAAAATGAAATAAATCAGACAAGGTTAAATATCACGTTTTTTTAAAAATGAGAAACCCAAATATAAATAATTTAAAAAGCAAAATAAAAGAAAGATGATAGAAAACAGGGAGGTAGATCTTGCAGACATGGGAAAGGGGTCTGGGTGAGAGGGCAAGGTAGAGGGAGGGATTGGAAAGAAAAGTAAAAGTGACAGATTTGATGTGTTTATGTACCACTTGCACAAGATGAATGCAATAATTATGCATCACAAACATGTAACAATAAATAAGATGTATGTTCTCAGTATTTCCTTTTCAAACATTTATCATAGTGATATAGTTTAAGAATTTAGCAGTAAGAATTATTATTTGCAGTATTGCTTATTGGGATAAAACACTGAAAACAATTTATATCAATAATAAGGAATTGGTTTAGTAAACAGTGGTACAGCCACACAATGAAATACTATAGGTCCATTTAAAATAAAGGGCTAGAAGACAGCTAATATGTGCAAAGATGATCATAATATATTGTTGAGTAACAAAAAGGCATGTTCCCAGTTGGTATATATAGTTTTATACACACATCCACACACACACCTGTCTGTAAATAAATCACATACATAGAAAAGCCTGAACGGATACACTCTAAAACATCAAAAGTTATCTATGATAGTAGGATTAGAGGTAAGTATATTTTCCTAGTGTTTTTTTAATCAGTGCATATTAATTATACAGAATAGTTGTGATGTTTTCATACATGGGTATAACATAATTTGATCATTCCCAACGTTTTTATTGTGCCAGATATGGTGGCACACACCTGTAATTCTCGCACTTGGGAGGCTGAGGCAGGAAGATCACTGTGAGTTCAATGCCAGCATGGGCTACAAAGTGAGTTCAAGGCCAGCCTAAACTACATAGCAAGACCCTTTCTCTAAAGAAAGCAAAATAATAAATAAATAAATAACAAGATTTACTATCTTAACCATTTTAAATGTACCGTTCTATGATATTAAATACATTCATAATGTGTACAACCATTACCAGCATTCATGTCCATAACTCTTTTCATCTTGTAAGTGAAACTTTATATGCATTAAACAATAACTTCCCATTTTCCCTCCCTGTCACCTTTGGCAACCACCATTATACGGTCTGTCGCTATGAGTTTTATTAATGTAAGTACCTTATAAAAGTGGGATCATACAGTATTTTTTCTTGTGCTTGCTTTCTCACTTAGAAAGTGAGAAATAATATCCTCTAATTTCATCCATGTTGTAGCATATGATGCAGCATCCTTCATAAGGTTAACATTCCACTGTATGGATATATGACCTTTTGCTTATCTATTCTCTGCTGATGGTCACTTGCATTGTTTCCATGTTTTAGCTCTTATGTATAATGCTTCTGTGAACATTGTACAAATATCACTTAAAGACTAAAGTAAGGTTAAAATAAGTTTTATTCCTTTTGTTCAATTTTATTATCTAAAATAAAAATTTTTTAAAACATAATTTCTCTTCACAAAAAGAATGAGAAAGAACCTCAGACTGAAAGTGGAAGAAAACTAAAGAAAAGCTTATAAATCTGAATCACTCAGAAAAATCTGGATATTATCTCTACTTTTTACTTTCTAGGTTTTTAGCTATGGTAAACTACAGTATAACATAAAATTTACCACCTTTGGTGATGTACATTTTAGGACTAATCTTTTAAGTGTAGAGTTCTGTAGTGCAACCAATCTCCAGGACACTTTTTGAATTGCGAAGTGGACACTCACTAGATAGTAACTGCCCGGTTCTCCCTCTCCACCACCCCTGGCAACTACCATTTTACTTTCTGTCCCTATGAATCTAATAGGTGTAGGTACTTCGTATAAGCAGAATCATGTAGCACTTCTTTGTTGTTTATGACTGGCCCATTTAGGTTTCTTAAGATTCATCTAGGTTGTAGAATATGTTAGAATTTCCTTCCTTTTAAAGGCTAAATAATATTCATTGTACACTGTATACCACATTTACTTACTTATTCAGTCCTCAGTGACCATTTGGATTGCTTCTACTTTATGGGGATTATGAATAATATTGCTGTGAACATAGGTGTATAAATATTTCTTCAAGATGCTGCTTTTAACTCTTTGAGGTACATATAAAAATGAAAATTGCTAGATCATATATTAATACTATTTTTAATTTATTGAGAAGCTGCATTCTGTAGTGTGCACTGTCTTACATTCCCACAATGTACGTTTCAATTTATCCATATCCTCTTAAATACTGGTTATTTTGTATTGTTTTTATAGTGCCCTCTTAATGGATGTAAAGTGGTGCTCTGTTTTGGTTTAGATTTGTATTTCTCTTATGGTTGGGGATATTGACATATTTTCATATGTTTGTGGCCATTTGTATATTTTCATCTTCTTTGTATGTCTTCTTTGGAGAACTGTCAATGCAAATCTATATAAGACAGGATTTTCCAGAGAAACAGAACCAATAGAGTGTGTGTGTATGTGTGTGTGTATGTGTGTGTGTATGTGTGTGTGTATGTGTGTGTTTTATATATCCTCAGTATAACCCTTTGTAAGATAAATGATTTGCAAATATTTTCTCCCATTGCACAGGTTGCCTTTCACCCTATTGATTGTGTCCTTGGTACACAAAGGTTAACTCTGATATAGTCCATATCTCCATTTTCTTTACTACTTTTAAGCATAGTCATTTGCCCTGGGCTAGCATTGGTAGCTCAATCATGGAAAATGTAGAGACAAAGGCAAAACTGCCATTTTGCTTACCTCATGAAAGGGTATCTCCAAGGTTTGGAGACGAAGGTCAACCTTGTGGTAAGTATCTAGGCAAGGCAGAAGGAAGAACAGACCTAGAAGACGGAGGTAGAGGAAGTAAGTAGGTGAAGAGCAAACATGGACACTGTTTGGGGTTCATCTTTTCAGGGCCTACTTGCCCATTGTATTGCTTCTCTTAGCCTCCAATATCACAGAGATCGTTGGTAAATTTCACCTCTGTGCCTAAAGTGATTTTTTTTTTGTTTTGTTCTGGGTTTTTTTTTGGGGGGGGTTGTAGCTATGGTTCCCATATAATTTGTTACTCAAATTGGGACCTTTCTGAGGGTAAAAAGGAGAGCTCTTAAAAGTTACTCAGGACAAGAAGTGTAAACAGAAATTATTCCCAGCAAACTGGGCTTTATGGTCACTTTAGTCATGGTATTGACCCCTCCAGATCTCAATTACATGTCTTTCTCTACATCGATGGAGTTTCCTATGTATACTGTCATATGTATTATTGTTAGCCTTAGCATCTGACTTAGGGCCTTGTAGGAGTTCTGTAAAATTGCTTTTGATCTATGAGTGTACCCACGTGTCAAAATGTGAGCCTAGTAGTAATCAGAATAACAATATCATAATATCAGCCTTCTGGCTGGCCAATTAGTCCTTACCTACCCAATAATATGTACAGGATCGGTGTATGCTAAGCATCTGTAGATGGACTGGAGAACCCAAAGTTCCTTGGGATGCTGTGGGCTCCTTCAAGAGCCATAGCTCTGTTGGAACTGGTAGCAGCTCACAGAACCTAGGATCTATCTAGGGGACAGCCCAGCTACTAGCCCAGTTAAATGGCTAGTAAGTAATATGTAAGCTAATAATGCAGAAGTCACTGGAAAATACAAACTTAAGCATGCTCTGATAAGATTTGACTTAAAGAATATTGGACATACTAAAAAATATTTTGGGCTGCAACAGAGAGGTCTGGACAGAGAGGCTGCAACACAGACAGCTACAACAGAGAGGGCTTCAGAATAGCAGGACCACAGCAAGATGGTCTATATCCTGGAACTTCAGACTCTAGTTCTACTTTTGTATGGACCCATCTGTTGGGTTCTGAATCTTCAAAGTCTGACTTGTGTCTTCTACACTGGTCTTCATTCTCTACTTGTTTCTGTAGGCCTTGCTGAGAACTCAGACCCTCTCCAGGATATGTACAGTGGAACTTTGTTCTTTCTCACGCTTTCCTGGTGCCTTCTATCTCCAAACCCCAATTTCTAAACTTTTTGGACCAATTGCATCTCTGTCTATGCCCTATAGTCAGCCTGGATGCCCCAACATCACTTCCACTAGGTTTCAAGGACTCTGAGGTCAGAGACTAGGTCTTACTCATCCACTTGTGTGCGTCTCCTCATTAGCACAGACTCTAGAACACAGGAAATACTCAGCATATGTCCATTAAATTCCACTGGTTTATTACTTGGATGCTGAACTTTGCCTGTCTTTTATGATTTGATCTGTCCCCTCATTTGTGAAGTAGCTCAGTTTTTCTCTGAGAGTTCACAGGACACATCATACACATACTGTACTCAAACTAGTCTCAGCCATGGGCTCCCACCTGCCTTCCTATTCTAATTAGTCTGGCTCTGGTGTAGGGGTCTGCACTCACCTTTTCTCTTGGCCACCTGTGACTTGGTAACAATGGTGTCTAAAGAATTTCTTAAAAACTATCATAAATCAAGTTACTTCGTATAAGGTCTATATTAGAAAGCTGCACAGATTAAAAAAATTGGTATATTTGGGGGTGGAGATAGTTTTTTTTTTAAAGAGGTGGGTGCTTCTTACCAGGACCTTTGGCTCTTCCAGGAAGCAGATGTCCCAGTCGGAATATAATTACTCTCTCATACTCCTGTACAACCTAAAGGGAAATGTAAAGCTTTCAAATTAATCCCACAAAGAAAAATAAAGTCTTTGAAAAACCTTGGCATGAGAGCGACGCTAGGTATCAGAAATTTTGTGTTTTGAGAACTAAGAACAAGTTCCTATTCATATTTAATGTTCTAAAATCTATAAAATTTATATTTAGTAAGTATAGAATTTCAGAAATCAATTGAAGAACATATTACTGGCCATGTTAATTTTTGAGCCTAAGGAGAGAATTTTGATTGAAGGCTCATGATTAGCTAAACATTACTTTTTAGTATGTCCAATGTTCTTTAAGTCAAATCTTATCAGAGCATGCTTAATTTTGTATTTTCCAGTGACTTCTGCATTACTAGCTTACATATTACTTACTAGCCGTTTAACTGAAAGATGGGGAACACTTTAATGCCACTTGTGATATTTTGTTTCAAACTGCAGTTTCTTCAAAGCCTGCTTCAAAATGATCCAACTGATTTTAATTTGTCAGCTCATATAGATCTTGAAAAATTGAATGTGCCCTTAAAATGTGTAGCGATATTTTAAGTGACAAAAAGAAAATTCTCTGAGTGGAATAGTCTGTCTATTAGAAGAATAGGAATGTCACCGCGTATTCTTTAAAAAATAAACTTTGCTTTCTGGGCCAGTATCAGAATCTGAGTTTATTGCTTCTCATTAACTTAGTTGATCTTTTGTTTAGGTGCATACCCCACAAAACTGTGAACTCTGATGGTTTACAATCAATCTTTTTTCCTGGTGCCTAGAAGAATCTCTATACATAGCAAATATTCAGTAAACACTTACTAAATAAATGAAGGAGTGATTTGTGAGTATAGGTAAGTCAATTTTCCTCTCCTCCTCTCTCCATTTTAAAAAACTCCACTGAATAATAACTAGCCAAATACAGATATTCCTCAACTTATGACAATAGGATAAGACTATTGTAAGCTGATAAATATTACTATTACTATTATTATTATTATTTTGTCTTTTTGAGACAAGGTCTTGCTATGCAGTTCAGGCTGGCCTTGAGCTCACTTTGTAGCCCAGGCTGATCACAACAATCCTCCTGCCTCAGCCTCCAGAGGGCTGGGATTACAGGCCTGTGCCACCATGCCTGGCTTGAAAATATTACTAAATTGAAAATGCATTTAATATATCTAATCTACTGAAAATCATAGCTTAGCAATACAGTACTGTGACTTTTGTGGTTGCACTGTGCTGCACTGTAGTTTTATGTTCTCTTATACATTACAGTACTATATGTAAGAGTTATGCAAATAAAAGCAAAGTCGCTAAGCTGGAGTTTTCTTTGACCATTTCTTTGTTCCAAATATTGTAATGTATACACTGTATATAGCTGCTCATTTAGTGACCATTCATTTAACCATTTAATTGCAGGAATGGAACTTGGTCATTGAACAATGAATGTCTGTACTGCAAACATGTAAACAAGTATTATATATATAGTGCTAAAATGAAGTGAAAGCAGAGTGACCCAGGAGAACAGTGAAGGAATGACGGTATGGAGGAGTCAAGGAAGGCTTCACAGTTACTTTTTAGCCAGGTCTTGAAAGAGTTAGAGCTCACCTGAAGGGTAAGTGGCCACCAGAGGATTCCACGGTGTGACACCTGGGTACCAAACAGTGTCCTGGTGTGGTCAGTAAGCATCAGGAAATTACCTGTTGGTCCTCATGGAAACTTACCTTTATGCAGAACCAGATGGACAAAGGGAAAGTCACGATGATGAAGAGCAGGGAGGCAAGGACAAGAAGCCATTCACATGCTCCTAAACCTGAGGACTTGGTACCTAACAAGGAAAAGAAAAATTAGATTGGAATCTCACCATATTAACTGACTAGCACTTTTGAGTCCTTGGTATTTGGAGACATTGCTAGAAATATTAGAATGAGTCAGACACCAGAGTAGTGAGAGCAGTGAGTGCTCACAGGGCCAGGGGTATTGTCTTGCGAAGGGCTGTGGGGGCCCTCAGCGGGTGGTCCAGGCTCCTGCAAAAGCATGGGAACATCAGACCAGAACACCCGTGGGTTCCAGCCCTGCCCCCATCATTTCATGTTCACAGCTGACCTTCACAGGGCACAGGATCTCTTCAAACCTGTGTCCTCATTTCTACAGTGGGGCTGTTAACTATCTCATAGTAACTAGCTCGGGAGATATATCTCATACTATAATGTACAGATGAAGTTATATATACAAATAAAAATGTGGAATTACACATGTGTCAGGTTTTACTATCTAAAGTGTCCAGAAGCTTATCATGAAGCAACTTCCTCATTCACTAGCTGCCTGTTATGGTTGACACATTGTGTCAACGTGGGGAGTCTAGAGGTTTGGCTAAGTAACTCAACAGTTCTACATCTTGGGGTAAAAATGACATGCCTTTATTCTTCTGAGATGTCGTTCATTGTGTCAATTTAAAAAGTTTAAAAGGTTAACTATGTGACTCAACAGAGAGCCAGGGTGCTTACTTTATATTCATCCTGAGCCTGTGCAAGAGGAAGGCATAAAAATTATGTGAGTGCTACACGCCCCTTGGGTGGAGATAGCCTGCTTACAATATAAAAAAAAAAGGCTTGCTCTTCTCTGCCACTCCCCGCTTTTTGCTCTTGTTTCTTTTGCTGTCTTCCCCTGCCATAAACTATTGCCCTCTGCCATGTGCCACTCTGCGTTAAAGCCAGCCAAATATAGACTAAAACCTCCACAAACTGTGAGCTAAATAAACCTGTCCTTCCTTAATTTTGGGTTTCAGGTATTTTGTCTCAATAACAAAAAAATAACCAAGACAAAATTTGGTATTAGGAGTGGGGTCATTGCTGTGACTATATCTAACCATGTGATTCAAGAGCCTTAAAAAATGGCTTATAGAAAGTATTTAAAAAGGTTGAGATGTTGCCTAAAAAGTTACAGCTAAAATGCCTTCAGCTGTTGTATATGACAGATTCTGGTCAGAGCTCAAAAGACCAAAACACTGATAAAAATCCTGCCAGTAAGCCGGGCATGGTGGCGCACACCTGTAATCCCAGCACTCTGGAGGTTGAAGCAGGAGGATAGTTGTGAGTTCAAGACCAGCCTGGGCTACAAAGTGAGCTCAAGGCCAGCCTGAACTACATAGCGAGACCCTGTCTCAAAAAGACAAAAAAAAAAAAAAAAAAAAAAAAAAAAATCCTGCCAGTAAAGACCAGGTTTGAGAGGTTTCTGCTACAAAAAAAAAAAAAAAAGACTACATCAGTTGTTGAACTCCAGATGATATATGTTATGGGTTGGTAAAAAGTTTGTCTACATTTTGCTCCTGTCCAGAGACTTTGCCAAGACTGAGATTAAGGGTGATAAACTAATTAATCTGACAAAAAAAATTTCAAGGCAGTCAAATGTTGCAACAGTGGCATGGCTATTGTTGGGGGCTTTTAGCCAAATTTATGTTAAAAGTCAAAAACAAAGAGCCCAACAAGATAATTTAAAATGTTATAAATTTGGCAAAAAAAAAAAAAAGCTCCAATAAAGTTATAGACTACAAAAATAAGGCTAAGAAAACTCCATTGCTAAAAAAGAGAACAAAAAACTCAAAAGATGGCCTGAGGACATCACAAAAAGCAGCAAGTCTCCACCCTTTGCAGCCTCAAAACTGCAAAGGTGAAAGACCTTGCTTTAAAAAAAAAGCCGCAGAGCATCACGTTCCAAAATAGAAGCAGCAGCCACACCAGGTTCCAAAATGGCCATGTCATACAAAATTTATTCCTCAAAATCAAGTTCAGAGTGCCCAGAAATCCAGGCACTCAACCCCTGTGGCCAAAAAAAAAAAAAAAAAAGGCTTGGCTACTACTCCAAGTAACAACAAACCTTAACATCATCCACGTGGCCCTGCTTTTATATTCATAAAAAATACAAGAGTTCTGAGATTTCAAAAAAAGGCCTACATGGCCAGGCAGTGTGCCCCCACAATACACAAAACTATAAATATAAAGCAAAAAAATACATTAAAAACCTCAAAAGTTTAAGAAAGCCAAAAACATAAATTGTCTAAAAAAAGCTACAAAAAAACCCAAAGTGAGCCCCCAAAAAAGCCATAAAAGCTAAAACCACTAAAAGTGCCATAAAAATAAACTCCTACAAGCCCTTTAAAGCTGACAATGTGCCACAAATTACTTCAAATACTAAACATAAAACTACAAGACATAATGTTAGCCCTACTAAATATTAAACTTACTTTGGTCCCAATACTCTATATCCCCGTTTATACCTTTTAAAATAATAATGTTTATTTTGTGCCATTAAATGTTAAAAATATTTAACTTTTCATTTATATAGGGGCTTATATCTAAAGAGTTTGCCTTATATCTCAAAAAAGACTTAGGCCTTAAACTTTTCAACAATACTAAAGCTATTAAAACTTTAACAACTCTTACAAATAAACTAAATACCTTTTACATAAAAAAATGAGCGTTTAAGAGACAAAATGTTATAGTTCTAATATAATGTCTTTATATCTAAAAACTAGTTTTACAAGATATATCTAATTGCAACAAAGGCACAGGAACATCAGACCAGAACACCCGTGGGTTCCAGTCCCGCCCCCATCATTTCATGTTCACAGCTGACCTTCACAGGGCGCAGGATCTCTTCAAACCTGTGTCCTCATTTCTACAGTGGGGATGTTAACTATCTCATAGTAACTAGCTCAGGAGATATATCTCGTACTATAATGTACAGATGAAGTTATATATACAAATAAAAATGTGGAACTATACATGTGTCAGGTTTTACTATCTAAAGTGTCCAGAAGCTTATCGTGAAGCAACTTCCTCATTCACTAGCTGCCCTATTGTTTGAAATTCCACTTTAGAGTGCCTTCTTTCCCTTAAGGTGTTGATCTCCAGTCTCTGAAAATCACTTACATGATTATAACATGCTATTAGTGTCTGTAAAAAAAGTGATAAGGAACTGGGCTGCAGAACATTAAGGACGTTTGGGTGATAAATGAAATGACATCAAGGAAAGTCATCATCAGGGACACAAGCTCTTAGGGACTCATCATTTTACCTTGGTCCCCAGGCCCTAGGACAGTGCCTCACACAACATGGATGTTCACTAAATGTTGAATTGGAAGGATATGGAAATTTCAAGAATTTTCATCTCCTGATACTAGAAAACTATCCAAAGGGATACTACTTGTCAGTATATAAATCTCATAGAGAATTAAAAGATAAATAAAATTTAGGAATTGGTAAAAAAAGGCTATTTTTTTTTTTTTTTTTTTTTTTTTTTGGTGGTTTTTTGTTTTGTTTTGTTTCCAGTACCGGGAACCGAACTCACGACCTTGCGCTTGCCAGGCAGGCGCTGTGCTGCTGAGATAAATCCCCAGCCCCAAAAAGGTAATTTTTAAAGGGTGAGAAAAACGGATAACTAATTAGTAGGCCTAAAAACTTGCTTTCCAAAGCCAGGTACAGTAGCATGCACCTGTAGTCTCAGGTACTAAGAAAATGAGGCAGGCGGATCCCCTGGGCCCAGGAGATTGGGGCTAGTCTAGGCAACGTAGTGAGAGCGTGTCTGAGGATGGAACCCATGACTTCACACATGCAGGGCAAGCACTCTGCCACTAAGCTACATCCTCAACCTTTTAACAAAATTATTTTGAGACAGGATCTCAATAAACTGCGAACTTGCCCATGCTGGCCTCAAACCTGCAATCCTGGTACCTCAACTGCCTAAGCAGCTGGGACTACAGTCATGCACCACCACTCCTAACAAAAGTTTTTGTATTTAAATGCTTTTAAAATTTACTTTGAATTCCTTGTCTGAAGAGGTCATCACCAAATTGACGTGCAGATCACTTGAAGAGGACAGATATGATATACAAGCTACACCAGCACTAAACCTAAATAAGCACTAATGGTCATAGTATAGGCATTTCCCAAAGACTATCCCACAGCATGCTAATCCCAGAGTGCTCCGCATGGGAAGAATTCCTCAAGCAAAGGAGTTTAGAAAAATACTGGGCAATGTATCCCAACCTCGGCATTCCAATGCGCGTGAGCATATGAGGCTATAAGAATCCCTGTAGTAAAAGCATTCTTAGCTTTGTATACTTGACTGTTTTTCAAGACTTTGACCAGATTTGTTTTCTCCAAGCAACACTCATTTATATTCTATGAAACTTATTTTTCATGGGACCTACTTTGAGAAATGTTTTATCAACATCATTGTTAAATTTTATGTTATTATTCAATGACATTGACTAATAATAGTATTGCCATTTTTAGTTAGTTTACAAATGCAATTATTAATTAGTGAATTACTGCATATATAGACAAAATTACATTTTATAAATGAAGAAAGCCCTCAAGAATTCCTTTATACAGAATTGGGGGTGTGAATAGAAAACTAATTTCTGTACTCAAACCTAACTCAAAGGTTTGCCCACAAAATATTATTGTCTTGGGATGAGTTGCTTGAATATGCACCTTGTTTGGTTTGAGCAAGTAGTGAAGCACTACATGTGAAAGCAGGAAGAGCCTTTAGACATAGCCTGAGAACCCCAACATTTTGGTAAGGTGATGCTCCTTTCAGTTCCCCCAAGTCCTGAGCAGCCTGCCTTGTGGACTGTGCTACTAGGTGAGAAAGAGAAGAGAATGGCACGCTCTTGGGAGCCGGGTACCTCCTGCGCAAGGGCTCAGGAAGGGCTGCCTCATCCTTAGTGGGCCTTCTCACCCACTGCTTGGGGTCTCTTGCTCTGTCCACTTTGCAGCTGGACAGACTGAAGCCCATAAAAGTGAAGCTACTTGCCCAAGTCCACAGCTAGTGGGCCGCAGTGCTGGGACCATGATCAGATATCAGATGCAGCCCCATGTAAGCATGAGTCCTCAGTCTGTAGACTTATTCTGGAATTCTGGCCCTTCTGTTTCAACTATAGGTCCTGGGCAAGGTACTTAATATCTCAGAGGATGCTTCCTAATCTGTGATAAGGATATGATAGGAACTACATAACTCTTGATAAAACACCTAATGTTACTTGGCATGTAGGGTTCCATATATGGGGGCTCCCTTCCTTGCCTACCCCACTGCCACACAGCAGTTACAAACCCTCTAACCTGAGCGTGACTTTCAAGCAACCCTTGAATGACTAGGGATTCATCTGGTAGGCAAAACAATATTAACGTGATCCATTTAAACTACATCCCAACTGCAGGAATACTCCTTAAATTGTGGTTTTCAATGATCCAGCATATATTACATTGCTGGTAACAGGACACGTTAAAATTTCATGGTCAGTAGAAGGCAGTAGAACACGCTACTCCTTATTTACTTTAAACACCTACCATTCTACTCCTTAAGGCGTAATGAGGTTTGTTTTTTCTTTCAGTCATGGTAAAAAGGATGAGTTAAATAAATTTGCTCCTAAGAATTGCTTTACCTAAGGGGACACCTTTTTCTACATTCCTTCCTTTGATCTGATGTCCCTCTCTTTAAGCTTGCAAGAATCAAGCCTGCTCTTCACTCCAGGCTTTGTGCAGAGTACTGTGGGAAGCTAATCTCATTTTAGTACCATACTATCCCCCAGGCGGGTATCGTGGTAATTTGATCCTCAGTGAAGTCTTTCTATGTTCACAGGCTAGCAGATGGTGGGCTGGACTTTAAAATTGGGTCAGTCTTCTCTATTTGATTCTGCTCTGCTTTTTAGAAAGAATGATCATCCCAAAGAAGATATAAAATGCTTTTAGGGGGGGTGGGGATTTAGCTCAGCGGCAAAGTGCCTGCCTGGCAAGCACAAGGTCGTGAGTTCGATTCCTGGAAGAAAAACAAACAAACAAACAAAAAAAACAAAAATGCTTTTAGGTAAGACTGATAGATGAGGATGAAAAAGAAAAAGAAGCTACACAATTGCCCAGAGGCACCAGATCACGGATGTGTTTACCTCTACTAGGTGTTCATAGGCTCCACAGTGGCCACAAAAACCAGCCGCGTGGTTCGTTTGCACATTCGTTGGTCCCCAACCAGCACCACACTTCCCACCAGCCTGGTGTCTGAGACCAGTGATATTTAGTTGACATTGCTGTTTGTATTTTTTCTGATGCACTTTGCTCTCCACAGCTTGGGAGTTGCTGGGTTCCTAATTTATGCCTTGTATTTCCCGGGAATCAGAGCCTCCAGCAGGGTGCTCTGGTTTTATCTCAGCGGGACAATTCATTCCACTTCATCTGACCTCTTTGGGGCACCACTTGGAAAGGCAGCTTGGGGTGCCCGACCTGCCCTCCTTACCTTCCTCTGGTCGCTCACTCTCCAGCAGCGCCACCACCTCGGTGCCTTCCTCCCCAGAGCCTCGCACCTCATCCACGTCCACCACGGTGGCAGCGGGAGCTCGTGGCTCCGCGGGAGTCGCTGTGGGCTGAGGCCTCGGCCGCTCTGGCCCAGCCTCCCGGCGCCCGCGACCTCCGGCGCTCCTCCCGGCCTTTGCCCTCCCGCTTTCCCCGGGGGAGGCCCGGCTGCGCCGGTGTCGCTCCCTGGAGGGGCTACGCGCCTTCCTCTCCATCCTCTGAGTGGCGGGGCTGCGGTTCCAGCACAGCGGTCTGCGAACTGATGTGTACTCGTTGGGGAAGCCGCGGGTCCCTAAAGGCCATTGGGCCGGGCGGGAGGGACGAGGGGCGGGGCCGCGGCTCGCTGGCGGCCAAACCCGACAGCTGCTTCTCAGGGGCGCTGGGACCCCTCCCGCCCCCCGCCGCAGCGCGAGCGACACTAGGGCACACTAGGGCGATGCCAGTCTAGCGGGAGAGCCCTGTGCCCGCGCAGGGTGTTTCCAAGTACTCCTACAGGTGAAGAGCCGAGCCCGAAAGAAGATGTAGTTACATGAAATACCACGGAGGCCTGCAAACTGCTGAAGGGGTGACGACACTTGGCTTTGTAAAAAGGGTATGAACTAGGGCTTGTGGTCCTAGGGTAGTGCTAAAAAGCTTGGAAGGATACCAAACGTGTCTTTAAGACATTAGTCCTCAAGCCATCCCTTCCCTCCTTGGAGTCTTCCCAAGGACCCACCCAGGCACACAAACCTTTTTAAAATATATATATATATCCTGGCCCTGCGTTTTCTGCTAATGCATTAACCAATATGATGTTGCCCGGCTCCTCCCAGAAGCGTTTACATTTTAAAAGGGGAAAAAGAAAAATCTTTGAAATATCTTCTCCATTATTTTTATTAATGTTGATGATGTAACGCTTTCTTGAAGAGTCATAGAAAAGATGGGATCTGTTTAATTTCTCTTTTTAGGAAAGGGTCACTTCTGTCCCGGCCTGGTCCTGTTCCCATACCTCTGTGAAGGCTGGAGTCTGACTTTTTCAGGGTTCACCGGCCAGGCTGCTTCCTCTAGCCAACTAAAGTGCTGCATCCCCAGCTCCGGAGGAACTTGCAACATCTAGTAAATTGATTTGTCTCTCACTACATTAATAAGTTGGGGTTTTTTTCTGAATGTAAGGCTGGACTAGTTAACATTTCAAGCAAGATTTATGTTTCTACTGAAATAGCTTTGATCTCAGGATGGCAGAAATAACGTTCACTTACTTTTTGCTTTTCAATAATGAACTCAAAAGTTTTCTTTTTCTCAAAAACTTTATTAAAGAATGAGGACCTTGGGGCTGGGGATTTAGCTCAGCGGCAAAAGCGCCTGCGTGGCATGCGCAAGGTCGTGAGTTCGGTTCCTGGTACTGGAGAAAAGCCAAAAAAAAAAAAAAAAAAAAAAAAGAATGAGGACCTGAAGTAACTTAAATGGGTTTAGAAAAACAAATTCTACTTATTTTCTTCAATATGTTCCAAGTTAAGCCATTGAGAATAATATAATTAAATGTTTAGTAATAAAGTATTTTAGGTTTCTTTCTTTCTTTCTTTTTTTCTCCTGGGCTGAGGCAAGAGGATGAAAGTGGCAGGTTCAACCCCAGTCTGGGAAACTTAGGAACTTCATGACACCTTGTCTCAAAAATTAAGGAAGTCTAGGGATGCAGCTGTCTTAGAGCACCCCTGGATTGGACCACCAGTACTGCAAATAAATAAATAAATAAACTTATTTTAACTCTCTGCACTTGATTATTACATGGATTACATGAGGAAAGGCAAATGTTTTCTCTTAAGTGTCTGCCTTAGTTAACAGTTCCTGTCTACACCCCTACACTGAGAAAAATTCTGAAACTGGAGTTGGTTCACAAAGGGAAAAAAGGAATACAGTTATTGAGTTTCCCACCCTTTTTTGCGATGTTGGGTCTTGAACCCAGGGCCTTCCCACTGAGCGACACATCCAACACTTTTTTATTTTAAGACAAGGTGTCACTAAGTCATTAAGTTGCCCAGGCTGGGATTGAATTTGTCACTTGCCATCCTCCGCCTCAGCCTCCCAAAGTGGTGGTGGGATTATAGGCATAGGCCAACCATGGCTGGCTAATATTATTAAACATAGCTTCTTCATAACCCTGTAGAAATTTTGCTACTAGGAAAAGCATGAAACTGTATGGGGGGGGCGCGTGTACTGGGATTTAAACCCAGGGCCTCATATATGCTAGCTAAGTGAATGCTATGCTGTACTACTGAGTTACACTCCCAGCTCAAGTGAAACTATTTGTATCATTTATTTTTTTCTCATTTTGATTCTTTCACAAGTTAACTTGATCTACAACACTAACTAAAGAGTTATACCAAAATTGCACCTTTTTACTCCAAGAATGAGCAGGATAACTGGCCAAATAATATTTTTCCAATTGTACTATTTCCCAATAAAGTAGAGAAATTCTCAGAGGAGGAAAACCAATGTGAACAGGCCTGACCAGGTGCTGCAGCCCATGCCAGGCCCTTCTCGCTCACAGTCTCTTTGTTCATTTTTGCCACTGACAAGTTACATACATATTACTTTATTTGCTGTCTATGTAGAAAGCAGTGTAAGCACCTGAGCACAACACAATCTGACTGAGATAATGGATGATGACAGTATCTGAGAAAATGCACCACATCCTATGGTAAAAAGGCTAACACAGCATCTCTGGAAGGCGGAGGAGTTGGTGAGGGGAGTGCTGAGTCAGCACATGAGGCCTGATGGTTAGTCTCATTTGCTCTGCTAATATTGCTGCTGTTTTCTTTTGAATTCCTTTATAAATGAAAGCATTGCTCATCCCTTTTTAAATGAAAGCACAATTCTTAATATCCTACTCCTTGTCTGATTTGATAAGAGACTGTCATCTGTGGGTTATGGGGCTGCTAGAAGTGGGGGGGACAATGAAAATTGACCTTTGAGTTTGTTTCCAAGATGAAAGGTCTTGGAATACTGCAATATTTTCTAAATCAGTATATTTATTCTCATGTAGTGCTTTGAAAATTTATATCCATATAGATAAATGAAGGGGTAAATATTGATTTATATGGATTATTTAATGGATAAGCTAGAATCTGTTGGCACTAGGTAAAGTTGCAGATTTATCATTTCAGAGCTGCAAACTGTATAAGGATTTATTAAAATTTACTTTCTTGATTTGTAGATGGCAGAGAGATGAGATGAACTAGGGAAGAAAAGCAGTGGTCTAGGGGAGTGATGCTGGCGGGAGTCTGATCTGAGGATTTGGCAGTAGGAATGGCCCAGATTCAGGAAATATTTCTGAGGGAGAAAATTAACACTCTAGTGAGCTCAGGGAGTTATGGAATGGGGGCTATGAGGAGATAGAGAACTTGAGAAAGATGGAGACTTAGACCTTAGCAGGCCAAGCAGTTGGTCACAACTGCAGCTCCTCTGCCAGCCCCACTTCCCATAACTATATCGAGCCAAGCTTATGTTCCCCCTCATCTTTCCTGGAGAGGCAGGTGTTGGCTTGTCAGGTAATGTGGCAAGACCCAACTTGATAAGTTACAACTTATTTTTCTCTCATTTATTCACTCCACATAGGCAATGCTTACTTCTAAAAGTATAAAGGCAGGACATGTTGTATACCCTCAAGGAACTTAAGAGTCTGCTAGGAAGAGACATATATGTAAATAGATAAGGGTGATCAAGTGTTGTCCATGTTGTGACAGGATCTGTATCATGGTTTCTCAACCCCTGCACTATGGACATTTTGGGTCAGATGATTCTTTGGTGTGGGGGAAAGTTGTGTGGGAGGGGTGGGATTTCCTGTACATTGTAGGATCTTTAGCAGCATCCATGGATGCTACCTACTAGATGCCTACAGCCCCTCACTATTAGATTAATGACACCAAAACTATCTCCAAAACTGTCTCCATAGCCAATTGTTTGGTGGGGGTAAAATTGCCCCTAGCTGAGAACCACTCATCCATATAGTACTGTGAAGACAAAAATGAGGGAGTTATTCTACCTGGATGGAGTTAGAGGAGTTCTAGTTTGGAACATATTAAGAGATGAAGGGTAATCCTTAGGTGGACATTGACAGCTGGGCCTTTCAGGCAGAAGGAACAGTAGAAAAGATAATATTTCATACATGGCAGGTTAATCAGTGGCTTGACAAATTGGCAAATGGGGAGTCCACTGATAGGCAGACCAAGAAATACAAAAACCTTTTACATCGTATGAAAGAATTTGGAATTTATCTGATGGGCAAAAGAAGGCACTGAAGCATTTTAAGCAAAGGATAACGTGAACACACTTGCAATTTAGATGAGTCATACTGTGAACAAAGCAGAAGATGAATTGAAATAGGAAAAGGATGGACGCAAAGATGCCAGAGAGGAGACTCTTCTAGTGATCCAGGAGAGAGAGGATATGGTTTATGTTTAGAGGAAAAGGTGCTGACTTTCAAGACTGTGGTCAAAGTGACTAGTGAATGTGGCTGATTTCCAACTAAGGCAATACAATGGGGGCAATAATTCAGTTACAGATGTACAGCTAGCTAGCCGCATCTCTGGGTATCTTCTGGGAATGTCCAGTAGAACATGAAATAGGTATCTTAGTTACCTTTTTCTCTTTGTTGAGACGAAATACCCAATAACCAAAGTTAAAGGAGGAAGGGTTTATTTTGGCTCACAGTTTGTACATTTTTCAGCTCATAGATGGCTGGCTCCAAGGCAGGGTGACATGGCAGACAGGCATCACAGAGGAGAAGCAGTTAATGGTAAGCAGAAAGCAGCAAACAGGGAAGTAGCAAAGTAGCAGCAAACAAAAAGTGACAAGCAACAACACTCTTTCTGTCCCTTATATCCTATCCAGGCTACTAGGTAGCATTCACATCCAGGGTGGGGTGACCTTAATCCTAGCATTGAACCATGAATCAATCCCAGCATCACACATACTAGATACAGCCACCTCCAAAAAGCCCCACCATGACCATGGAGGCTTTGGAGGGACATCTAGACACAAGCCAAAACATTATGTTTAACACTCCAGACAGATGGTGTTTCTATAGTCAAGATCAGAACACTTCACCAGCTGCTGACCGAGATGGCAGTATCCTCTGCTGGCTCCTCAAGAGAGAGAGACTATCACACTGAAAAGTGATTTTGATAGCTATAATTCCAACACACTTCAGTTTAGAATCTGTTTCCATCACTGGATTACTGCATTTTGTCTCTTACCCGTTTTAGTGTTTGTGTGCAGGGAGGGCAGATGAGATCCTAGGGCAGTGTTTCCCATCTATTCCAATTATGACAAACATAGAAAATGATACTAGTAGAATGGCCTACCGGGGGAAATGGGATTTAAGAACATCTACACAGGATTTGGTGAGAAAATTATACACGTTTGTGTGTGTATGTGACTGGTATTTGAACTCAGGGTCTCATATATACTAGGCAAGTGCTCTACCACTGAGCTACACCCTTAATTTTATTTTTGATGTATAACCATGGTTTTTAAAGTACACTTTCCAAATTTAAAATAGAATCTTGTCAAGTATAAATTTTATGTGAAATGACTACATGAAATTTTTAATCAAGACTTTAATGATAAGCTGCTTACATTTGTTACCATCAATGAGAAATGTGTTCATACAATCTAAAAAGTTTTTAAAACCATTTTTACAATCACTTAAAAACTTACAACAGTTGAAATTAAAGAATCTATCTTTTCTTTCACCAACAAATGTACTTTCGATATTCCTTGTAATAATTTCTTGAGTATTGCATCAGTGAACTTTACATCAACTGCAGATCTGCAGTAGAAAAAACTTGAGTGTAGACTATTTATTCAAGGATCTGGCCATGAAGGAGAAGCTAGAGGATGATGTGGGTAAGAGGAAGTGTTTGTTTCTCCCTCCCCTGTCTTGCTCTGTGTCCATGTATGTGTAAGATAAAAAGGATCAAAGCATAACACATATTATGTTATAGGAATGGTGTCTGTAAAGAGACATTGAGCATAGAGGATTGAGTAATAATTAACCCAAGGACAAGGTTTATTGTCCTAGAAGTGTTGAGGGATAGAATCAAGAATAGGATGGATGATCCCCGTACCCAAGGAGACCAGAAGGAAAGATGGGAGGGTGCTAATTTAGAAGCTTTGGATGGAAGTTGAGGGGATTCATGCGTGAGAGGCTCCATTTTCTATGAGGACTGGAGCAGTCATTTTCTAGTGGTAGGGCAGGAGTGGATAAGAAGTTCAGAGGAATACCAATGGCTTGGAATAATTGCTGTAGAAAATGGATGCAAATAATGGCATCAAGTGGCCCCCACATGAGCATAATGTTCAAACACGTGGGAGGCAGGAATTTTGTACTGATTATATCATGTGCTTCAAAATCTTACTCCCTACGTTTTTCAAAACATTCACTCATCCTTGTTCATAAGACATAAAATCATGCTCCAGAAACTTTAAACATATACAGACACAGATACACAGATAACTGTTTTCTGACTAAAAAAGGCAGGAATGCTGGTAGGAGCAGCTGAAGTTGAAATACACTCCTAGATGTAAGCAAGCTGGAGGAGACCAGGTGGAGGCAGTTAATTACCAGAAGTGGGTGTTGGTCATCATAATAGACGGGTGTCGGGGCACATTGGTCTGTTAGTTTTCTGGTTACAGCTAATTAATTCTAGGATCCCAAGGAATGAACTAAACAAACAAACAAACCTCTAAGGACTTTTGAGTATCAACAACAAATAAACCAACAAAATACAATTCTAGACTTGGGAAACAGGCAACTTATGAGCTAGACAGACTTGTTATCCTATTCTCAGCACTAAATCAGATTCCAGATCCACAGCTTTCTGAACATAGCCCAAATGGTCTTGAAGAAGGATGCTTCAGAAATGCTGAACCTGACAGAGCAAACTCTTATTCAACTTTCCTCAAAGGCTTTACAATCCCCAATGGATAACTATCCAGAAGAAAAAAAGTACCTGGACTTTTGATTGAACACCATTTACTAATTCTAATTTCTGGAACCTAAAACATCGTGGTCTGCATCAATATTTTGAGCTTAGAGGTGTTAGAAAATAAGTGAATTCTAGTTCAAGTTCACCTTCAGGTAGGAGTACTAGAACTGTGCATTCATCTATGGTTATGGACCCTACTCAACAAACGAATAGTTGTAATAAATAATCTTGGCAACTAACAGAATTCCTACATTTGAACACTCAGTGGTGGAGGAAACAATATTGTGACAGGAAGCATCAAGTGGGGTGTAAAACAGCATACTGAAGGCAATAGCTCATCCCTGGAGAACTGCAGAGATATCACTGTAAGAGGAGAAAAAGATGCTACCTCATTCCTATTAATTTCCCTGTGAACCCAGTCAGGCTATGACCAAATGGGGTTTGGTTCTCCTTAATGAAGCAACTTTAAATAGCCCCTGACACTTGGTTTGCAGTTATTGATTTGGGATTTAGTTCCAGAATCTTTAAAAAAAAAATCTTTTTGTTTTACCTTATATACCAAGCTTTTGATTCAGTCATACATTTTGTTTTTAGTGCCTATCACTCATATTCTTACTCATGTCTGTATATGTACAATAGGGTTCATAATTGGACCTTTCTCAGTTATTGGGAAGAAACTGAGGTAAGCTATATGAGTGTGTATAACAGTGCTTGGCTATGTTATCTCTTATTACAGATAGTTGGGCATGAGAATCCAGAATGATTTTTATTCACTGTTCATTTTTCAGACTTGTTCAAGCCATTCAGTGCCATGGCAAACTTTTTCAGTTCTTGCATGTCTGAAAACATTTTTTTTACTTTCCTCCAACCTTGATGCTAATTTTCCTGGGCAAAGGGTTCCAGATTTAGCTTTGATGATATTGCTTCACTGAGAAATCCAGTGGCAACCTAATTTCCCTGCTCTATAGGTAACCTATTTCTACACAAGTACCTCTGGATTTCTTTCTAGGCCTTTTCTAAAATAAGATTTTTTTTTCATTCATTATTCTAAGGATTCAGTGTGCTCTTAAAATCTACACTTGCATTTTTGTTCAACTCTGGGACATTATCTTGCCCAACCCTCACCACCATTTTGTTGCTCTAAAACTTCTGTCATTCAAATGTTGCAATGCCGAATCCATCTCCGTATCTTCTTATTTTCCTTTTTGTTAATTTGCTACTTGGCCCCGCCCATCCTACTATAAACTGGCTATAAATCCTGTCTATTTTCTGTTTCAAGGACTTTCAATTGTCTTAGCTCATTGATAGAACATTTGTTGGTTCCCTTGGGCTTTTTTTTTTTTTTTTT